CTGACCTTCCTAGTATCGTGTAGAGAACCTGTGTGTGCAAGCTGACCTTCCTAGTATCTTGTAGAGAACCCGTGTGTGTAAGCTGACCTTCCTAGAATCGTGTAGAGAACCCGTGTGTGCAAGCTGACTTCATATTCTGCATCGTTTGATGGAAACAAAATGTTTCTTTCGAAGATGGTCATCTACCAGTTATTTCGTCGAGGTCGAGGTCACATATTCGTCAACATTCCACACCCGTCCCACAGATCTCTTATTGGCCCCTAGCAGGTCGTCACAGATGGTGCCACACAAATCACAGTGACATGTTAGGGAAGTCTACACAGCTGATTAACGAGTATGATCGTAACTTCATACGGGGGCTCGCTTGGTCAGTTGAATGTTGAAGTTTAAGATTAAATAAAAATAAATGCACAGCCAATCGAATAATGTAACATGTTGCGTCGCCATTCTCCAAACGATAGGGTCCGGTGGGGTAGCCTAGTGGTTAAAGCGTTCGCTCGTCACGCCTAAGACCCGGGTTCGATTCCCCACATGGCTACAATGTGTGAAGCCCATGTCTGGTGTCCCCCGCCGTGATATTGCTGGAATATTGCTAAAAGCGGCGTAAAACTTAACTCACTCACTCATTCAAACGATACGACACATATCAAGATGTATGGTCTGAACCTGGTCAGGATATTCACGAATATTATATAGAATCAACTCCCCCGTCCCGGTGTCTGTTACAGGGGCCTTATGTAAACCTAAGATATTGTTCACAGTCATCAGTAATCCGGGGATTCTATCTACTCTCTGTCATCATTTATACCCTTGCCCAATCCACAAGAACTTCTCTTCGAGCCTGACTGGAATGAAAAGACGCCAATAAGTATCGTCCAATCCAGTTGTTTAAATGAGCGACAGAAACTATGTGCTAAATTAAAATACGAGAGATGGTGATGATAACGTAATTTCCCAGACGAAAACGGGTGGTTGGAATAGAATATTTTCCAAACTAATACGTTCTCAAATACAAACACATTTCTTCGTTGGACATGCACTGAACAAAAAGTGTTGTCAAAAAAACATTCAGTTCCTATTTAAAAAAATATCCTTCCTTGTCTGTAACAAGCATCCCCCAACCTCAATAATAAATATTCCGTTCCTAAATTTGATTGATTGTACATCAACAACATATGCAAATTATGCAACATTCCGAAACATTTTAGCAATCTATATTTTTTTGTCATAATTAAGATTGATTTCCTCGGATACTGCATGTTTGAATACCTCGGACCAAATAATGGCATAGATAAACATGAATGTCGGTTTTCAAATCAGGATTTCCGCGAGTTCAAAGTGACCTTGGCAACACAGGTGCCCTTGGCTTTCGCGTCCATGCAGCAGATTGAGCCTCCTCCAAGTTATCGATTAGTGCTGGGATGGAGTCGGTGCCGTGGTGTAAAGTCTCCATAAAACACACTGGGTTTCTCCACGCTCAATCCACGGCGTCTCCAGTATCAGCCCTCGACGGCGTCAGTAACAACACCGTCGGAGTAGGACAGATGGTCGTCGTGCGTTATGACCTGGGTGTCGTTGTACAAAGCGATCTTAGCGCTAAGGTGACCGTAACTCCCATACCTTAACATAGACTTAAGGTAGCCTCAGCACTAAGGTTGTTTTGTACGACGGCACCCAGGAGAGATAATTATGTTATTAATCCTTCGGGCGTTGTTGTGCTGGACGTAAGGCGACACCAAATTTAATATGTTGTGCAGATAAAGAACCTAGTGTGGCACAACACGTAGAGAAGGACAGCGGAGAACTGTTTCACTCGGGCGACCGGGACTTTTATTGTTGCGAATTTTACATCCTATTATCGTTCGTATGGCATGATATACTTGAGGTCTAGAACATGGAGCGCAGGTTCGGCCACAGGGGCTTGTAACGCAAAAACACAACAACATGCGTCATGGTACATATTGTCACTAACGGGGTCTTAACACCATATAACAGGACTAGATCAAGATCAAAATGAAGATAGTGTATAGCACATAAGGCCTCCGCCCCGTATACATAGCGTTATAAAGACAGGCAAGGTATGGACATTGCAAATAGCGGAAAGCATCATAACATTGTGAAATTAGTTGACAGGAGAAATCAGACTCTTCCATAATGACAGCGAATGTGTTAATAACAGGGCTAATTTTACATGAACAGATTCGTCTTATGATAAAAACAATCTGATAAGTGTTACCCTAGTAGGCCGACCCAAATATTTCTGTGGAATATACTGCCTGCTGAAATCGACATAATAATGCATCAAATAGTAGCAACAGATGATATACTCAGACCCCGTATGTTTCCACTAGTGCAGAAACTACTAGACAATGTCCACAATACATATTTTACCCAGCGCCTCACATCGCAACCCCCCCCCCCCCCTTTACTTCTTACCATGGCCAGGCAGTGTGACTTTTACAGCATATGACTTTGCTGATGTTCTGTAAACAAGGTCATTAACCTCTTACTGTCCGTTGTCATAGCAACACTGATGGTCTGTGACCTGTTTTGAACCAGAGTGTATATATTCCCTCATATTGCTGGACCATAGGACACCGTGGTATTCCGAATATAGGTGGGCAGTCCCTTCTCTCTTCCTCGTCGCCCGTAACTAGGTGCCCCTAGTGGCCACACAAGTTGTATGATAACCAGGGAGTGTAGATTGAAAATACGATGTGCCGTTGAGATTAACATCCAATCATCGAGGCAAAACAATGCGCCTTGAGCATGTAGATGGGATGCTCTATATAGCGCTATATAAATACCCATAAAATGTATTAATAATGGTTGGTCATGCATGTGCCTCATTCTGAACAAACAAACACATGTTGCTCTGGGCCACCACTGTATAGATTAGTCACGCCATGGTGAGTGGGTGACTCTGCCATACAGGGCCCCGTTCCTCAAAGCGATCGTAGCGCTAAGGTGATCGTAACTCCCATACTTTAACGTAGACTTACGACTGTCGTAGCGCTACGATGGCTTTAAGGAACGGGGCCCTGGTCGGCTAGTTGTGCCATTGTAACTGCATGTTAGCTGGTTCTTGTAACTGTTGCTGTCATCTGTGTTACACTGTCTATGGGTCCACTATATTACTGTTAATTGATTGTACAACTTGTATCCTGCTGTGCCAATGAGTACGGGCTAACTGCCTGGCTGCCGATGTACAAAGAGATCTTAGCGCTGTGCTGATCTGAAGTCCAAACTTTAACTTGGACTTACGACTGGCGTACCCCAATGTTTGTTCTGTTCAACGGCACCCAGTCGCAAGGGCCCTATGCTATCTAAGCGCTATGTTGAGCGCATGTTATAGTTACGATCAACTTGGCGCTTTTTGCAAATGGAGTCCATGCAGGGCCTAGTTTTCGAAGCTCTCTTAGCGCTAAGATACTCGTAAATTAATGTTAATGTATGACACTTACGACTATCTTAGCGCTAAGAGAGCTTCGAAAATTCTAGGCCCGATCAACAAAGCGATCGTAGCGCTACGACTGTCGTAAGTTTATGTTAAAGTATGAGAGTTACGATCACCTTAGCACTACGACTGTCGTAAGTTTATGTTAAAGTATGAGAGTTACGATCACCTTAGCTCTACGACTGTCGTAAGTTATGTTATATGGGAGTTACGGTCAAAGACGACATCACCTTAGCTCTACGACTGTCGTAAGTTTATGTTAAAGTATGAGAGTTACGATCACCTTAGCTCTACGACTGTCGTAAGTTTATGTTAAAGTATGAGAGTTACGATCACCTTAGCTCTACGACTGTCGTAAGTTTATGTTAAAGTATGAGAGTTACGATCACCTTAGCACTACGACTGTCGTAAGTTTATGTTAAAGTATGAGAGTTACGATCACCTTAGCACTACGACTGTCGTCAGTTTACGTTATAGTATGAGAGTTACGATCACCTTAGCTCTACGATGGCTTTGTGGAACGGGGCCCTGATTGTACGTAGACCAGGGACTAGAACAGTGACTGTTACAATATCACCATTAGGTACTAATGAGTAAACAAGCAGATATTGCACTGTGTCTTATTTGAGGCATACACGATTCTTTGATCCACCAATGAGGGATCTTAGTAGAGTGACAATGTCACTAAGATCAACAATACTAGTTACTATATTTAAAAAAGTTCGAAATATCCGATTGACCAATAGTATCGCTATCGAGAAAGTATATATGTGATCTTTAAATCATAGCATTGTATTAAAGTATCAGCTTAGGGCTCCGTAACAAGACGCTATGCGGTACGACAGTGGTTTTTAGACGCCAGTACAACAAGCTGGTTAGACTGTCCTTTACAATCCCAAACATTCATCTGTCTATCAATAACGTGTCCGACACCTGGGCAGCCGCCCCATGTCAAGTCATGAGTATTGTGAACGCCTCAATAAAGATATTATAGTGTTTCGATGAACATTGAACCGTCTGGCGATTCGTCTTGATTTTTGTTGGCAGCACACCTACTGGGAGTAGGCAATGATTTTCTGTAAGCCATCGCATTACGTAAGTGTTATGTGAAGATATGATAGCTAAACAATAATTGCGTACTGTTTACAGTCGAAAATCACGGATGTGTGTGAATTGGAGCATCACGTACCCAACAAACACAAACATATCTAACTTGTCCCCCCTGCATGATATTGGGAATCCCGACCTCAAAAGGTGTCGTCATGAACGCGTAATGAAAGATGCAATACACAGTATATGATTTCAGAATAATTGTATAAATATAATTTATAAGAAAATAACGTTATATGAAGAACAGTTACATTTTTTCTATATGTCCCCCCGGAAATTCGTCTTTCATGACGTCACACCTCAATGACATCACAGAGTATCTGACGTCATGCGGGGTATGACATCATATTTCTGTCTCTGTCGAAAACGAGAAATGTCCATTCTTGTAAAGAACATTTTGATAAATTTCGTGTTGTTTATTGTTTTGCTTCAGGTCGGCAAACTGGAATTCCTCCTTGCAGATGCGATCGCAAAGGGACGCAAGCACGTGATCACGTGCGGTGGGGCACCATCCAATCACTGTCGAGCTTTGGCTTTAGCTTGCAGACAACTCGGACTTATTCCTCATCTGTTTCTAACTTCCTGTGCGAAGGTCAGTTCAGCCATTCATCTTGGATCCGTATTATCAAATTAATTGTTAAATATGTGACTCCAAAAGGTTTTTTATTAAAAGTATTAAATTCCTGTCTGTCTGTGAATAATGTTGGTTAAAATATTTTTGTTAATTGTTTCGTTTTAGGTTGACATTAACATATACACAGTTCATTTTGATCAAAATGTCACGACAGTAACCTCTAATGAATCATTAACACACTAAACAAACTGTAGGCAACTATACGAACTTTGTGAAATGTTTCATCATTTAGCACTCCCGTCCCTCCCAGCTAGTTCCCAAAAAGGGCTTACTTGGCAGACACATTGATTGGTTAGCAGTCAAATATAACGCTACGAACTTCACTGACTCGTCTTCAGTGTGTACCCAAAACGATTCTAATCAAATCTTAGTTCTCACCACACTCAATACATATCGACATCCCATGACTGGTGACGTCAGAATGACATTTTCGTGATCGACCAATCAAATGACAAATAGGAAGTCGGTATTAGCCAATCAGGAATCAGTTTCTGGGACACCAGAAATGGGCTTCACACATTGTACCAATGTGGGGAATCGAACCCGGGTCTTCGGCGTGACGAGCGAAACCTTTAACCACATGGCTACCAGACCGCACCCAAAAAGTCTGCTGTAATATAGCTTCACTGATTGCGGCGTTAAACAACATATTTTCACTTCGAAGTGAATTGTAACGAGTGAACTGATTGGTTTACAGACTGCGAACGATGTGGGTTGCCGTGGCAACATTCTGCTGGACCGCTTGTCTGGAGCTGACATCTACATGATGCCGCTAGGATCAGATGACGAGACGGACGTCCATCCCAGAATGGAAGCTTTAGCCGAAAAGATTTTGTTAGTTGCTTTTACTTATTTCCCTCATCAGTGTCAGGTTATCCTCAATCTATAATCTCTGTTCTGTTATGATAAATACTTGGGACCAGTATAACCTGGCTGGGGTTCGACTGACACAATACCCGTAAAGATCCGGGTCAGAATTGGTCTTCAGCAATCCATGCTTGGCGACCTTATGTGATCGGGTGGTCAGACTCGCTGACTTGGTTACCACTTGTCATCGTATCCCACTCGCGTAGATCGTTGTTCGTGATGACAGGATTGTCTGGTCCAGAGTCGATTATTTACAGACCGCCGGCATATAGCTGGAATTTTGCAAAGTGAGGTGTTAAAAAACAAACAACAAATCGAATGACAGGACACTGAAATAGACATCCAATCAAATTACACTATAGGTATGCCATTTAAACAAGTGGCAATATCGCCATATTGTATGGTTTGCTGGATAAGCTGCGCTTGCGCTACAGGGAAGAAGGTTCGAGTGACCTTGATACGTTCCATGTCAAATACAACCCCCAACCCCACGCGAGCTGACCCAACATAAGGAATAATCTTACCAGTTTTTATATCGACACAATTAGGATGGGGGTCGCAATGATTCCTTATGTCTGTTTTTGGTTCTAGAAAGGAAACAGGGGAGAAATCCTACCTCATCCCAAAGGGCGGTTCCAATCTCATGGGCGTGTTTGGCACCATGGCAATATTTGATGAGCTGTCCAGACAGGTGAGGAGAGTGAGTGAGTGAGTTTAGTTTCACGCCGCTCTTAGCAATATTCCAGCAATATAACGGCGGGGGACACCAGAAATGGGCTTCACACATTGTACCCATGTGGGGAATCAAACCCTGGTCTTCAGCGTGACGAGCGGATGCTTTAACCATTAGGTTACCCCACTGCCCCCTGAGGATAGTTGATGTTATTAGCAAGAACATAATAAATTATGAGATATTTACGGTCGCTGGTAACATTTGTCTTTAGTCTGTCAAGGAGCAGTTAGATATTTCCCTACTATTCTAAACCTGTGAAATGTCATAAACTTCTTTCTTTATAATTCTCCGTAGACCATAAACGAACAATTCCACTTGTCCATAAATTCAAAACAAGTGGCTGGCCAGTCAAAACCAATGATGTTCCAAAGTCATGCTATAAACTTGCTGAATGCTTAGAAAGTCATGCTATAAACTTGCTGAATGCTTAGCCTTCCTCTCCCCGTTATAAGAACGGTTAAAGTATCTGTATTTGTTTGTTATATCGAGGGCGCCGTGGACAGATTTGATGACCTGTTCCTGACGTGCGGCAGTGGTGGGACCACCACGGGGCTGTGTATTGCCAACTACCTGGCTGGGTCACCACTGAAGTAAGTGAGTGAGTGAGTGAGTGAGTGAGTGTTCTAAGTCATGAAGGTCAGATTCTGTTTATCATTTACTGTTTATTTCACGCAAATACTCAACCTATATGGCGCACAATACAATGGAGTGATAATGTTCAAGCACAAACCGAAATATGATTCGGGCATGATTCCGGACCTATCTGTATCCTTAAAGCGACGTATACCCCGATAAGGACAAACTTTATGAATGAACAACCTCTTTATTCAGGTATTGCAGCACGTGAATAAAAAACTTGGTCATCCATAAAATTTGTACTTACCTGACTCTCCAACTTCTAAAAATGCCATTCAAAGAATTTACGTATACCTCGTTGAGGTACATGCACTAGATGTTGTATTCGGCATGAACTGTCGGCACTGTGTACCCTGCCGGGATATTTCTGAAGTGACGTCAAAACCCAAACAATCAGTGCAGAAAGAATTCGTGGTTACTTTGATTGCATGAGTATGCTCTGAATGAATTGCCGTGTCCCGGTGTATGCCGAATAGTTTCAATTGGGCACGGTGACATGCTGCATGTTTAATTTAGTTTCTAATATTATGAAGGTGCTTTGTGTATCTGTGACGTTTCTGTGAGCAGGATTCACGGCGTAATGGTGCACAGCACTCCAGAGGACGCCCATCGACACGTGAACGAAACGCTGCGTCAGCTGGGGGTCGAGGACGCCAGGTCGGAGGACATCGTCGACGTCATCGACACCTACCAGGGGGAGGGCTACTCCATCTCCAAACAGGAGGAACTAGGTATGTGTGAGTGAGTGATCTCAAACGTTAACGCAGAACCCACCTGAATGACGCTGACAACATGATCAGGGCGAACCGAGTTCTTGTGGCAGTTTTTCTCCACAACACATTTATAGTCCACTCGGACATTGACGGACGATTTTGAAGGTCAAGGTCAATAGGTGTCACTAGATATTGTGTACAGCCTACTTCTTCCAAGTGCTACCCAGGGTACTTAATTGTGCTACCGCGGGTCTTTAAGTGCTGACTTAGGTCATTAATTGTGCTTAGCCAAGGTCTTCAATCATGCTATCACTGGTCTTTAAGGGGCTATTTTGAGGTTCTTAATTGTGCTACCCCGGGATATTAATTGTGCTACCCCGGGATATTAATTGTGCTACCCCGGGATATTAATTGTGCTACCCCAGGTATTTAAGGTGCTCTCCAAGGTCCTTAATTGTGCTACCACAGTCCATTAAGGTGCTAAAAAGGTCTTTAATTGTGCTACCCCAAGATGGTAGGGGTAGACTCGAGGGTCGCCGGGTTAGTTTACTTTCTCAGCAGCTGATTCTGGGGGTAGAGGTAAATGCATCGGGCGGTCATCGTACCCCGGGTGTGGGTGTCGCAATATACCAATCACTGGTTTGTCTGGTCGCAACTCGAGTATTACCATTTGTTGTCATACTGCTTCAGTATCACAGGGTGGCCTAAAACAACCAAAACATACTGAACACCTAACACCTGACCACGACAGTTTATCTGTCTTCCAGATTTCATAGTGGAGGTGAGCAGTACGACGGGGGTGTTGGTTGACCCCACCTACACTGGCAAGGCCGCCTGGGGGCTTGTACAGGAGATGAAAAACAACCCCACCCGCTTCAAGGGACGGAGGGTCCTCTTTCTACACACAGGTAAGTTGTGGGTTTGGGTCTGGGGTTTAGCGACTCCCATATACACGGTCAAGGGCTCCTGGGAGGGGTTGGTGGGGGAGGAGGATAGGGGTGCAGGAGATGAAACACAACCCTGGTCGCTTCATGCGGAGGGGGTCTTCTTTATATACACAGGTGAGCTGGGGAGGGGCTAGGGAGGGTGGCGTGGGAGTTGCTGTTCTACCCAGACAACACAGGAAAGCAGTCTGGGACGTGTTCTGGAGATGCAGGTTGGGAGTGTCCACTTTGTAGACACGTGAGTGGGTTTTTTGATCTGCAGGGCTTAGAGGTGATGGGTTGTTTACGTAATTACCGCCATCACGCTAAGGGACGGTGGGGTAGCCGGGTGACTTAAGCGTTCTCCCGTCACACCGAAGGCACGGCTTCGATTGCCCGGAAACAGTATGTGGAGCCTAAATGTACAAAACATACTCAGTGACTCATTTTTTAACATTGTTTCAGGTGGGATGTTCGGGCTGTTTGACGGTCGAATGGATGACATGTTAGTGCAACCTGGAGCGTTGACGAACCACGTGACAATGTGCCCTAAAAACCCCGACCAGACGCAGAATGGGTCACACTGACCGGGCAATGGTGATACCGAGAGGAGCTCCTCACCCTACACGTCACATTGGGGTGACAATGAAATCTGCTGATGAGTTTTGTAGTTGTTTACGCTTAGGTTTAGTTGCATCTAGCTGAGCCCGCAGCGCTCGAAGATAGACATGCTAGAATATAGATGAGTCCTCCTTCCCCAGGACCAAATACAAATCTATTACTATCTGGAAGCGCACGTAATATATCCAACTCATCAATGTGTCCCGATTGTAGAGGGCAGAGCATGAGTTCTCAGTAGAACAAGTAGGTATATGGATGACAACTTCTTTTATTCTAGAGCACGACGTTTCGATACAGATTCTTGTATCGTTTTTAAGAACCTGTATCGAAACGTTGTGCTCTAGAATAAAAGAAGTTGTCATCCATATATACTTGTTCTATCTGACTTCCAACTTCTAAGATGCCACTCAAAGAAGTCCTGAGTTCTCTGTTTCATGTGTGTATTATGATGCATAGTTTTAAAGAATTATATTTTATATATGAGGGTGTCACTTGGTTTTGTCACACCGGAAGTCGAGTTGACCTACACGGGGTGTGGTTGTGTAATACAGCACATAGTTGACACGAACCAGCACACGGGTGTCAATGTTACAATGTTGAATTTTAATTTTCGTTTCTCTTTTCTTGAAAAGAGTGGCAACTCGATAAAATATGTAGCTCTTATCTTAAGAGTTTATGCCATGCATTCTATGCAAAAGTCTGTTTTATTTGTCTCGGCTGTAAGGCAAGAGGTCTTCAGTTGGGTGGTATGGCTAATTAACTGGTATGCCATCTGATTGAAGATCGGGTAGGTGGGAGAAGCCTGGCACGCTGGTGTACGTCATGAGCTGATCACCCAGACGGACACGGCGTGTATAGCTGGTGTACGTACCGTCAAGAGCTGATCACCCAGACGGACACGACCGTGTATATTGTTTTTGTTTTGTTGTTTCTAATTGTTAACTTTGATTTCATGATTAAAAAGACCAAGTCTGTACAAAGCAAACAAGTGATGTACTTGAGTTGACTTGGTGCTATGTGTGCGGTCAGGTATCAACATATACATAGATCTGTCCCGTGGATTCTTTTGTACCAAGGACAATAGTTAGAAGCATACAGGGAACCTTAAATAGAGTCGAACCTGGTTGTGTCGAATTACTGGTGGTCTCAAACTCACCTCCCTGTCCTTGCGAACTTCTATATTTATCATCATCTCGGATTTGCTTGACTGGACATGTCGAGTTGTCTGGAACTCTGGGAGTATCTGGCATCCAAATTATATACAGGACGTAACTTGACAGATGCGGTTTCGCGGCAGCGAGCAGTTTTTTGTTCTTTAATCTTATTTGTGACTGGCGGAAACTGGACGGAAATACGAGGCTTGTTATAATCCTTGTTGGGTTGAACTTTCTATACTAAGAATGTTGTCATTACTGCCTTTACTAAGCACTACAAAATGTCCATTAATCATCGATTTTATTCATCTTGTTAAATCTACGAAGTCGTTTATTTCGTTTTATTTCTCCTTTGTATTACCTGCTAAATATATATTTGTTCTTTGTTATAATGAAAAGTGAAATATATATCATCGATAGCATTTGCTCGTGCGTTGAAAAAAGATATGTGTGAGCTGGCTTATTATTATAATATCTAAAGTTGGTGAAGTGACGGGCTGAATTACATGTCAATTACTGGGAATGTGATCATTTACATAGTAAGATTTTACTGAGTGAGTTTAAACTGTGCATATCAAAGCTCATTACTGTATACACAAGGTACAGGATTGTTCTCCCGTGTCTGCAGCGACGCGCACTTTGAGAAATGAGTGAAACGGTGATGCTGAAATGTCTTAGAAACCCAAAGATGATTGGGTTCAATGTAATTATCTCTCAAAACAAGAGGCGCGGTGGGGTAGCCTAGTGGTTAACACGTTCTCTCATCACGCCGAAGACCCGGGTTCGATTCCCCACATGGGTACAATGTGTGAAGCCCATTTCTGGTGTCCCACGTCGTGATATTGCTGGAATATTGCTAAAACCGGCGTAAAACTAAAATCACTCATTCACTCAAAACAAGATGTTTGGTGGTCCGCGTTTCACTTTGATGGTTGTCCTGAATCCCGGGGAACTGGAATTTTCATTTTCCCACGACTTCAACACAACGAGGTTCGACTATATATAGGAAGTGTTCTTCAAACACCTGGTCAAAAATTTCGTCGTCATTTGAGTCCTGTAGCCTTCCGCAATAAGTTTATTATTGGTTTATTCAAATAGTCCAAACCATGATCCTGATCTATTTAACGGCAGCTACTTGTCAATGCATCAGTTGGACGTGATGCTTTGGGTTTTTTGCTCAAATCATTCTTTTTGTCAAAATGGGCGTGGTTAGAGTGTTGCTTGTTTTGTTTGTTGATTTAGGGGTTTTTTTTAGTTTTAGAAACAAGGGCATGCCCGCAGCTGTTTCATTCTGTGTTGTTGGTTAATATTTGTCATTTGACTATAAGATGGGCCCTATATGCGCAGATCTTAAAATGCTTCCACTGTGGGCTGTGGTATAGGAGAATTATCGAAAACTATGGAAAACATGAGACAAACGTTCATTCAAGTTTGCTTATCCAGTATATCATATCAGACCACTTGTTTCTTTGGATTCGTTTTCAGACCTATACGACACATGACACAAAATCGTTTCTGTGGTACCGTCCTGATGTGACACATTGAGAGGAGCCATCTTCGACCTTGCAGGATATTGTCTCTGCATTCTGTTACGATGAGTTCGTTCTTTTGTCTGTCCGGTTTCATATCTCGCTGATGTGATATTTTGGATTATTGTGGACTGTTTCACGGGTCCAGAGTATTTATTACAACATAACCAAGTTATACTATCCAGGATAACCGAAGATGCCACTCGTCACATCTATCTGGTTGTGTGTACTTAGTCTTGAATACTGTACATTCCCTACTGTTGAGTACTTTGTTATAGGGTTTGTTAGCAGCTGTATGTTATTTTTCATACAAGTATTCCACTTTTCGTTTATCTGTGTTATTCACATTTACCCACAAGAGTACAGCATTACTGACGGATGGGTTCACTTGTTGATTTACACACACACTCAAAGTGGGGGCTGAGTAGGTTAGATCGCCGACTCTGTGCTGGCTAGTAGGTACCTGCCTCTAAGAGTGTGGGTTCGAATCCCGGATGGGACTCAATCAAAAAGAATACAAAAATCTGAATTGTACAGATATAATTTATGTTAGATTTGAAAACTTTCTAAATGATGTCCATCGTGTATTCACTCACTCTTGAGTGTTTGTGTCAGGGTAATATTGCAGTAACAGCACGCATGGATATCTACGACCAGTTAGTCACGTTGTGAACACTGCTAGCATTGTTGAATGTCCATTGTTAGTTGTTACATTTGTTACTTTGTTTCATATTTCCTAGAAGAAACACAATACATTGCGTCACTTTAAGATCACGTGTGATTGTCTGAAGCAAAGATTAATCCGAATAAAGAAATATCTACTTAAAACTATTGGATACCTATGAATTTCACTCATATATACAGGTATCGAATCAAAACAGAGCACCTTGCACTGAATATATATTGGTTGATCTCATACAAGATGGCGGACTCGGTATGTTCACTACGAAGAGGAGATGAGGTGGGATCTGGATGAATGCTGCATTGAAAGTAATAGCACTTGCATAGTTCTGTCCGTGTGTGCGTACGTACGACAGCATGGCTGCTTGTATTAGTCGAGACTAGTGCCGGCTATGTAGCTGTAACCCTACAACAGATAAGCCCACCACACCGTGTACAGACTCTATCTTTGTTAACACAGGCAGGTCAGAAAATCGATAAACTAGGCCCCGGTTTAGTATCAACACCCCCTACTATACCCCACTGCGGGTCAGAAAATCGATAAACTAGGCCCCGGTTTGGGTTTTGTCTATAAAACTACTTGACAAACACTTTTTATGATGAAATGGTGCAAGACAAAAAGGTAAATTTTCGTGTAAACTTGCCCTTTAATGCAGATATATATAAATGAAACATGCACCAACTGAGCTAACACTTAAAACCGCTGGCAGTATCTGTTAGTGTTTGATGAAAGTGTAGGGGAGATACGATTAACACCTGCTATGTTTTATGTGTTGAGTTTTACAATATGCACACACACTTACTATAAACACACGCACTTTACAGCAGTTCATGATCCATTAGAATTCTTGTTTCTCTCTCCGAAATATAACCCGTTTTGTTTCAGCCTTGTTCAAAATCACTCACAGGCTTATTATTATTCCGAAGAGAATATTAAAAACTGAACGTTAAGGATATGGTATTCAAACTATAGTATTATGTATACCACGCCGTGAATATTTCACACACGCACAGATCTCTGAATCAGCTGAATTCAATGCCGCTGTCATTCACATACACCCGAACAGAATTACGGATCCAATAATAGAAATTGATAAAGGGCAGAACCATTTATGAACATTTGACCAGGGAGACTGTATAACGTTGTATGTTGTAGATTATCCCTGGTTTGACAGAAAACATACCGAGGCCGCCATCTTCAGTTTTCCACAATGTTCCAGAATGACATTTTATAGGAAACCGGTCTCCGGTCTTCCGCTTTAAAAGCTACTCCGATGCATTTCCAAAAATATTTTTATTTCAAAGACACTTTTGTTCAAATTGTTTGTCGTGATTGTTTATTCGGATTAGTGTGGGGGCTGTATTACATCAGGGATATTCTACAGCGTCTTCTAATCTCCCTGATTACATCAACAGCTGTCTCGTGAAGTCTCGTCGCTAACATCTCGGACATCCAATGACGAGACTTGAAGTGTATTGACATTTTAAACCCCGCACGTGTGGTACCCCAGATTAAAATGACTTTACTCGCGTCTTCTTTACAGTGAGCATGTACTGACATTATTAACTTAATAAAAGTGCCAGTAATAAAATGGCTTTGAAAACATTGTTGTTCGAGTGTTTTGTACCATAATTAGATGTTGAATTGTCTCTAACTTAGTTTACAAACGATTCTCTCAGATCCATGTTTACAAATGTGGTTTAGTCGTATGTTCTTGTACGTCACCCTCAGCACTACAACACAAACATCACGCCGTCCTTGAAATAATCAAATCTGGGCAAGGAAGATGTAGTGATTGATATTATGAACAAACAGGACGCTACAAAGACCGCGAAAGAAATCCTGACCAATCAACAGGTAATGAGATACTTGTGACTTTATTTAACCCGGGAGAGAAGCAGTGGTGAGTTTGAGACCTGGAAAACCGACTCTGAAGGAGAAAATTCAGCGACTGACATTTTAAGTATCTACCAAGTTTGTATACCATGACATGCATCAGTGAGAGAGAGAGCATGATTTTATGTTGCTTCTAGGCATATTCCAGCAATATCACGTTAACTATACAGTACCGTTATTGGATATAGGGTGGGGTATAAGTTAGGTTCTAGTCAAAATGGCCACAAACCCCTACCAAATACTGTGTTTTACAAGACCCCCCTGCAGATCCATGTTATCATGACACTGAGTTAAGTCAATTGACAAACCCAGTAAGTCAATTACTCATTGTTATGTTATCAAAACACTACCGGGTACCCGATGAGTATTAAAAAACTTATCTACATGGATGTCATGTAAAAGTGAATAGTTAAAAAGTGCATAAACATGAAAAAAGATAATATATATATATTTGTTATTTGTTGAAAATATGATTTGTTTAACTGTAATACACATCAAGTTTTTACATAATACAAATGTTAGGCATATTATATAAAAAAAATAATGTGTGGCCATTTTGACTTTTAATTTTCTATGGCCAATTTGATTTTTTGCTGTGGGCATTTTGACTAGGGGTTGTGGCCATTTTGGTTTTTTTGTGTGGCCATTTTGACTAGGGTCAGTGTGGCAATTTTGTCGTGTGGCCATTTTGACCTGTTCCCTATAAGTTAGTTATACAGTACTTCTCTGGAAGTTTCGGTTTCTACACCAACAGTTGCACACTGTCCAGGCAGGTGCCGCCAATATACAGACACTGTCCGGGCAGGTGCCGCCAATATACAGACACTGTCCAGGCAGGCACCGCCAATATACAGACACTGTCCGGCAGGCACCGCCAATATACAGACACTGTCCAGGCAGGCGGCGCCAATATACAGACACTGTCTGGGCAGGCACCCCCAATATACAGACACAATACCCACCCCTAGTTTCTACACCAACACACTGTCCGGGCAGGCGCCGCCAATATACAGACACAATACCCACGCCTAGTTTCTACACCAACACACTGTCCGGGCAGGCACCGCCAATATGCAGACACAATACCCACCCCTAGTTTCTACACCAACACACTGTCCGGGCAGGCACCGCCAATATACAGACACTGTCTGGGCAGGTGCTGCCAATATACAGACACTGTCCAGGCAGGCACCGCCAATATACAGACACAATACCCACCCCTAGTTTCTACACCAACACACTGTCCGGGCAGGCACCGCCAATATACAGACACAATACCCACCCCTAGTTTCTACACCAACAGCTGCACACTGTCCGGGCAGGCACCGCCAATATACAGACACTGTCCGGCAGGCGCCGCCAATATACAGACACTGTCCGGGCAGGCGCCGCCAATATACAGACACTGTCCGGGCAGGTGCCGCCAATATACAGACACTGTCCGGGCAGGCACCCAATATACAGACACTGTCCGGTGCCAATATACAGACCTCGTCCGGGCAGGTGCCGCCAATATACAGACACTGTCCGGCAGGTGCCGCCAATATACAGACACTGTCCGGGCAGGCACCGCCAATATACAGACACTGTCCGGGCAGGCACCGCCAATATACAGACACTATACGCAGGCGTCTAATATACAGACACTGTCCGGGCAGGCGCCGCCAATATACAGACACAATACCCAACCCTAGTTTCTACACCAACACACTGTCCGGGCAGGCACCGCCAATATACAGACACTGTCCGGCAGGCGCCGCCAATATACAGACACTGTCCGCAGGCGCCGCCAATATACAGACACTGTCCAGGCAGGTGCCGCCAATATACAGACACTGTCCGGCAGGTGCCGCCAATATACAGACACTGTCCGGGCAGGTGCACGCCAATATACAGACACTGTCTGAGCAGGTGCCGCCAATATACAGACACTGTCCGGGCAGGTGCCGCCAATATACAGACACAATACCCACCCCTAGTTTCTACACCAACACACTGTCCGGGCAGGCACCGCCAATATACAGACACTGTCTCGGCAGGCGCCGCCAATATACAGACACTGTCCCGGCAGGCGCCGCCAATATACAGACACTGTCCGGGCAGGCGCCACCAATATACAGACACTGTCCGGGCAGGCACCCCCAATATACAGACACAATACCCACCCCTAGTTTCTACACCAACAGTTGCACACTGTCCGGACAGGCGCCGCCAATATACAGACACAATACCCACCTCTAGTTTCTACACCAACAGTTGCACACTGTCCGCAGGCAGGTGCCAGCCAATATACAGACACAATACCCACCCCTAGTTTCTACACCAACAGTTGCACACTGTCCGGGCAGCCAATATACAGACACAATACAACACACTGTCCGGGCAGGCACCGCCAATATGCAGACACAATACCCACCCACCGTTTCCACACCAACAGCTGCACACTGTCCGGGCGGGTGCCAATAAACAGACCATTCCTGGTATTACCGCCGACAGTTGTCAGACACAATACCCACACCCTAATTTCTACACCAACACACTGTCCGGCGCAGGCTCTCGGCGGGCAGGCAATATACTGCACACTGTCCAATATACTAGACACTGTCCGGCAGGCACAATGTATACCAACGGACGGGTAGCAATATACAGACGCACTGTCGGGCGTTGCGCCAATATAGGCAGGCGCCGCCAATATACAGACACTGTCGGGCAGAAACCACCAATATACAGACACTGTCCGGGCAGGCACCCCCAATATACAGACACAATACCCCCCTAGTTTCTACACCAACAGTTGCACACTGTCCGGACAGGCCGTAATATACAGACACAATACCCACCTCTAGTTTCTACACCAACAGTTGCACACTGTCCGGGCGGAAGCCGCCAATATACAGACACAATACCCACCCCTAGTTTCTACACCAACAGTTGCACACTGTCCGGGCAGGCATACAATATACAGACACAATACCCACCCCTAGTTTCTACACCAACACACTGTCCGGGCAGGCACCACTAATATGCAGACACAATACCTACCCTAGTTTCTACACCAACAGCTGCACACTGTCCGGCAGGCAGCATCAATATACAGACACAATACCCACCCCTAGTTTCTACACCAACACACTGTCCGGGCAGGCACCGCCAATATGCAGACACAATACCCACCCCTAGTTTCTACACTAACAGTTGCACACTGTCCAGGCAGGCCCGTAATATACAGACACAATACCCTCCCCTGGTTTCTACACCAACAGTTGCACACTGTCCGGGCAGGCTGCCAATATATACAGACACAATACCTACCCCCAGTTTCTACACCAACAGTTGCACACTGTCCAGGCAGGCATACGCCAATATACAGACACAATACCCACCCTAGTTTCTACACCAACAGTTGCACACTGTCGGGCAGGCACCAGGCCAATATACAGACACAATACCCTCCCCTAGTTTCTACACCAACAGTTGCACACTGTCCGGGCAGGCACCGCCAATATACAGACACAATACCCACCCCTGGTTTCTACACCAACAGTTTGCACACTGTCCGGCAGGCACCGCCAATATACAGACACAATACCCTCCCCTAGTTTCTACACCAACAGTTGCACACTGTCCCAGGCAGGCGCCGCCAATATACAGACACAATACCCACCCCTGGTTTCTACACCCAACACACTGTCGGGCAGGCACCGTAATATACAGACACAATACCCTCCTGGTTTCTACACCAACAGTTGCACACTGTCCGGGCCGAAGCGCAATATATATATACAGACACAATACCTACCCCCAGTTTCTACACCAACAGTTGCACACTGTCCAGGCGGCGCCGCCAATATACAGACACAATACCCACCCCTAGTTTCTACACCAACAGTTGCACACTGTCCGGGCAGGCGCCGCCAATATACAGACACAATACCCACCCCTAGTTTCTACACCAACAGTTGCACACTGTCCGGGCAGGCGCCGCCAATATACAGACACAATACCCACCCCTAGTTTCTACACCAACAGTTGCACACTGTCCGGGCAGGCAACCGCCAATATACAGACACAATACCCTCCCCTAGTTTCTACACCAACAGTTGCACACTGTCCGGGCAGGCGCCGCCAATATACAGACACAATACCCACCCCTAGTTTCTACACCAACACACTGTCCGGGCAGGCACCGCCAATATACAGACACAATACCCACCCCTAGTTTCTACACCAACAGCTGCACACTGTCCGGGCAGGCACCGCCAATATACAGACACAATACCCACCCCTAGTTTCCACACCAACAGCTGCACACTGTCCGGGCAGGCGCTGCCAATATACAGACACAATACCCACGCCTAGTTTCTACACCAACACACTGTCCTGGCAGGCACCGCCAATATACAGACACAATACTCATACACATCTATGCACAAAAACAAATCCAAACTAAATTTTCCAATTTATTATTTCGAATTTACACAGCTTCCCTGAAATATTGATTATCACTGACAGACATGAGTTGTGGGCACATCTATTTCCAACATTTCAATCACTTACTAAGTGACATTTTCATACCTAATTAAAGGACATATCAACAATAACTGCATGGCATAATGGCAATACATGACATCTTAAATATCACATTTATGTCGACTTCTGATTGGCTGAGATCCCTCCCAATATATTCAATGTACAGCTAACATAAAAGGTACATTTCGTATCTGAGTTGGCAAACTGTTGACATTACATTTGCAATATATCAAATTAATGAGGCAGCTGAAATTCTGATGATAGTCACGATATTTTCTGAATGAAATAGATCCAGTGGGGATAACTCTAGATGTTTTTTCATCTACAATACATGCCTAACTGTGGTATTCTTACAACTTCCATACAAACCATCCACGCATCAGATATATCTACAATGTAATTTGGTTTGTTAAATACTCCATCAAGCATTAGGCTGTACCCACAGACTGTAAACCAACCCATGCACCCTTAAGATGGTAGAAACAAAAATACACCACAAAAAGACATTATTTTCAATAACGATGTATATTCAATATGTTAATTAAATGAGTTGTCCAAGGGATGGTAGCCCAATGCATGTTATCACGATCAGAATAATGAGTTAACCAGAGGTCCGAGAGGCAATCAGGATGGGTCACATGTTTTGTCTGGCCACATCTTCAGGTTATCAGTTTCAGAAGTAGGTGTCTTCAGAACAGCATTCATCCTGCCATCGAACAGCCCGAACACCCCACCTGCAACAGCAAGAATAACAGTAAACTATGCGAGTGAGTGAGTTGGGTGAGTTGGGTTTGATGCCACCTACAAATGTGAAGACAATAATATCCTGTCCCCTTTACTTTTACCTGTATGAAGAAACAAGAGCCTGTCCCCCTTGAATCTACCTGTGTGAAGAAACAAGACCGTGTCCCCTTTAAATTTACCTGTATGAAGAAACAAGACCCTGTCCCCCTTGAATCTACCTGTATGAAGAAACAAGACCCTGTCCCCCTTTAATCTACCTGTGTGAAGAAACAAGACCTGTCCCCTTGAATCTACCTGTGTGAAGAAACAAGGCCCTGTCCCCTTGAAATCTACCTGTCCCCTGTCCCCTTGAAACCTGTATGAAGAAACAAGACCCTGTCCCCTGTCTACCTGTGTGAAGAAACAAGACCCTGTCCCCTTGAATCTACCTGTATGAAGAAACAAGACCCTGTCCCCTTGAATCTACCTGTGTGAAGAAACAAGACCATGTCCCCTTTAAATTTACCTGTATGAAGAAACAAGAGCCTGTCCCCCTTGAATCTACCTGTATGAAGAAACAAGGCCCTGTCCCCCTTAAATCTACCTGTGTGAAGAAACAAGAGCCTGTCCCCCTTGAATCTACCTGTATGAAGAAACAAGACCCTGTCCCCCTTGAATCTACCTGTGTGAAGAAACAAGACCCTGTCCCCCTTGAATCTACCTGTGTGAAGAAACAAGACCCTGTCCCCCTTGAATCTACCTGTGTGAAGAAACAAGACCCTGTCCCCCTTGAATCTACCTGTGTGAAGAAACAAGACCCTGTCCCCCTTGAATCTACCTGTGTGAAGAAACAAGGCCCTGTCCCCCTTGAATCTACCTGTATGAAGAAACAAGACCCTGTCCCCCTTGAATCTACCTGTGTGAAGAAACAAGACCCTGTCCCCCTTGAAGCGGCCAGGGTTGGAGGAGAGTTCCTGCACCATGCCCCAGGCTGCCTTCCCTGTGTAGGTGGGGTCCAGCAGGATGCCCGACTGGATGCTGACATCAGTGATGAAATCTGTAACGTGGATAATTAAAGTTATTTACTAATGTGCGACCCCGCAAGTCACATCTCCCAAAATATAATAATAATAATAATAATAATTGGCTTGTATAGCGCCTCGTTTCTATCATAGATGCTCAACGGCGCTGCATAACATTGTTAAAAACACAATAAGTGGGAAAAGAGTTCTATTCAGAAGCCATCTTGAAGAAGTAGGTTTTGAGCAAGTTCTTGAATTGTGAATGGGACTCAGTTCGTCTGAGGGTGACTGGAAGATTGTTCCACAGAGCTGGTGCTGCTACAGAAAAGGCTCTATCACCCATTGATGTTTTAGTGCTTGGCTGTGTTAGTCTTAACGTATCTTTTGATCTAAGAGCTCTGGTGGGTACATGCAGATGTACAAGCATATGTTGCCGAAGATGAATCATGATACTGATTTGAAAGGGAGTATGATCTGTCTGATTGGCATTGATCCATAAAGTATCTTACTTTCTTACAAGGGAGTATTTCACTTTGTAAGTAACATTAACAGTTATAAGTAGATTAACTGAGATTAAATAAAAGATACAGTAAACACCCACCCAGCTCCTCATCAGTTGAGATGGAATAGCCTTTCCCTTTGTAGCCTGTCACGATGTCCACAATGTCTTGAGCGTTGACGTGGGCGAGGCCAACGTCTTCCAGCGTCTCCTGGATGTGATTGTAGAAGTACACGTCATCGTCACACACCACGAACCCATGACATCTACAGGTAGAAATACACGTCATCAACACACAATGAATCCATGACATGCACAGGTAGAAATACAAGTCATTGTCACACAAGACAAACACATGACATGTACAGGTAGAAATACACATCATCGTCACACACCATGAACCCATGACATGCACAGGTAGAAATACACGTCATCGCCACACGCCACGAACCCATGACATGTACAGGTAGAAATACATGTCATCGTCACACACCACGAACCCATGACATCTACAGGTAGAAACACACATCGTCACACACCACGAACCCATGACATGCACAGGTAGAAATACATGTCATCGTCACACACCACAAACCCATGACATCTACAGGTAGAAATACACATCGTCACACACCATGAACCCATGACATGCACAGGTAAAAATACACGTCATCGTCACACACCACAAACCCATGACATCTACAGGTAGAAATACACATCATCGTCACACACCACGAACCCATGACATCTACAGGTAGAAATACACATCATCATCACACACCATGAACCCATGACATCTACAGGTAGAAATACACGTCATCGTCACACACCACGAACCCATGACATGTACAGGTAGAAATACACGTCATCGCCACACACCACGAACCCATGACATGTACAGGTAGAAATACATGTCATCGCCACACACCACGAACCCATGACATGTACAGGTAGAAATACATGTCATCGTCACACACCACGAACCCATGACATGTACAGGTAGAAATACACATCATCGCCACACACCACGAACCCATGACATGTACAGGTAGAAATACACGTCATCGCCACACACCACGAACCCATGACATCTACAGGTAGAAATACATGTCATCGTCACACACCACGAACCCATGATATGCACAGGTAGAAATACAAGAAGACACTTTAAACAAGCTGTACCATAAGCATCATAAGCTTTGTTATAACAACAGTTATCATATTTAATCAAGGGATAGAAATGTATTTCATATTCAAGTGGGCACAGTACTCCACAGGTAGACATCAGTAGCACTGTCTGTCTTACCTGAGTTCGCTACCTGTCAGGTAGTTAGCTATACTTAGTCCAGCCGCGGTGCCTCCACTGCCACATGTAAACACAATATCATCGAACTTCTCCAGCACACCCTGAATGAGATAATGTGTAAAATAAAGTCAATGTTGCTAAATGTTGGGTAGAGGGAGCGGGAGGGAGGCTGAACTTTCTCTTCTTCATCACCAATCAATATCAATAATATTAAGTAGCTGTGCAACAGACGGCTGACTTTGTGTGCTGACTGAGGGTGTGTGTTCGATGGGACTCAACCCAACAAATGTACTAGAATCTGTACTTTACTGAGAAAGTGTAACTCCAGATATAATGTCCACTTGACCACTTTCTAAATGTATTCATAACAAACAAAGTTCTACATGGTGGAGTGAAAAAGTGTTGTTTTTATTCTAAACAGATATGATTAATATTAAAAACACCCCTCATTTATTCATTCTATCAATATAAAAATATAATATTAAAACCTGTGAAAAAAATAGTTTATATCTTCTGGCCCACTCTATCCAAAAAGACATTTCGACTTTCTGAAAATCGGTACAGCCTCCTAAAAATGTATCGCACTCTCTCTTCTATGGAGTAAAACCATGCCAGGGTAAGACGGTACCTGTGTCTGGAGTTCCTGGAAGACAGAGATGTAACCAAACAGTCCCACCTTGTTGGAACCCCCGACAGGTATGAGGTAAGTAGACTCTCCGGTCTGTTGTCTGAAACACACACGTATCAAGCTGTTTCTCTGATAATACAAGATAATATTCTCCTTCATCTTCTGTTTCTTTGGATGTATTTAAATATGCCCCCTCTGTACATGTGCCCCACCCACTCTGTACATGTGCCCCATCCCTTTGTACATGTGCCCACCCCTCTGTACATGTGCCCTACCCCTGTACATGTGTGCCCTACCCCTCTGTACATGTGCCCCATCCCTTTGTACATGTGCCCACCCCTCTGTACATGTGCCCTACCCCTGTACATGTGTGCCCTACCCCTCTGTACATGTGCCCATCCCTTCGTACATGTGCCCACCCCTCTGTACATGTGCCCCACCCACTCTGTACATGTGCCCCATCCCTTTGTACATGTGCCCACCCCCTCTGTACATGTGCCCCACCCCTGTACATGTGTGCCCCACCCCTCTGTACATGTGCCCCACCCTTTGTACATGTGCCCCATCCCTATGTACAGGTGTGCCCTACCCCTCTGTACAGGTGTGCCCTACCCCCTGTATATATGTGTGCCCTACCCCTCTGTATATATGTGCCCTACCCCCTCTGTACAGGTGTGCCCTACCCCCACTGTACATGTGTCCTACCCCTCTGTACATGTGTCCTACCCCCTCTGTACATGTGTCCCTACCCCCTCTGTACATGTGTGCCCCACCCCTCTGTACAGGTGTGCCCTAACCCCTCTGTGTATGTGTGCCCTACCCCCACTGTATATGTGCCCTACCCCTTCTGTACATGTGTGCCCACCCCTCTGTACATGTGTGCCCTACCCCCTCTACATTTGTGCCCTCACCCCTCTGTACATGTGTGCCCCACCCCTCTGTACATGTGTGCCCTACCCCTCTGTACATTTGTGCCCCACCCCTCTGTACATATGTGCCCCACCCCCTCTGTACATGTGTGCCCTACCCCTCTGTACATGTGCCCTTCCCAGTCTGTACATGTGTGCCCTACCCCCTCTGTACATGTGCCCTACCCCCTCTGTATATGTGCTCTACCCCCTCTGTAAAACTCACTTTATAATCTCTGCCAGTCTCTCCTGTCTGGGCCTCAGCTCAGCGATGTACGGTGAAGCCCGGGGCACGATGTACATGTGTGCCCCACACATCCGGTTCAGCAACACGTTCCCCTCACAACCAATATCTGATGGTGACTGCAAAAATTACAATCAATCAGAACACAGGATTGGGTTTTGTCACAGAAACACTGTGAGTAACAGCAACTGCTTTGTGTAGAGATAACCACAAGCAAGAAATACACTGATTGATCGTCAGAGCCAAACACGATAACTGAAGGAGAGAGTTCATGCCACACTATACAATTATTTCACACATTGTACTTATGATTGGAATCAACTCCAAGTCTTTAGCAGGACAAATGAATGCTCTACTGGGCTTCCTGACCGCCCCTCAGAGCATTGCCAATGGCAGCACCAAACAGCGAACTCATGATAAACAGATCGAGCTGATATCATTAAGACTGAAAGGTCATACCGTGGTGGTAGTGCGAAGAAGAAGATGTGGTATAAGACCAAGTTGTCGCGCTGCAACAGCCACCGCCCTACAGTGATTGGACTGAATCCCGCCAACAGTGCACACGTGCTTGCAGCCCTGATCAATGGCATCGGCAAACAGGAACTCCAGTTTCCGGACCTGCAACAACATTTAACACAAGTCCATAAAAAATTTACAAAGACCAAAGAGGCATGGGATGAAACCAATATTTGCTTCACATACATACTGTGTGATGAGTGTCTCTGTGCAATGTGCATGTGTGTGTGTGTGTTCAGCTGCTTGTACTATTCTGACCAAGTCAGTAACCACTGATATACCATACACGCATTAAAGGGCATAAAACTTCAACAGCCAAGGAAGACAGCAAATCTGCTCACCCAGACCAAAAAACGTCCCCAGTCATACAACCCATGCTCTTAACAAACAGACAGATTTAACAAACTGGTTTTCTCTGTCTTGGGCACTTGCTCTTTATTTAAGTCAAAAGGATATCACAAACTACTGTTATAATGAAATACAATGTGTGGCCCCTTTGAATTTGACATAACTGTACATATACATCCATATATCTACCCTTGCTGACCTTGTTCCCTGAAAGAGTACCTCCAGTCATGTCATCCCGCTTGATGTGGATGCTGAAACGTTCTGGAGCACCTGGAATATTCCACTTGTGAATAGGAGTGTTAGGTTGTGCCAGCTGAAAAATGCACAAACTGTTACCATGGATACAATATAAAATGCATAACAACCTGAGGACATATTTTCTGTTTTAACCAAGTCGTTTCCCTTTTTCTTCCCATGGTTCTTCAACTACTATATTTAATTCAGTTTTTCTTGTTCAAGGAATTCCTTAAAGTTCATAACACAGGGATATACTTTGGACTCCATGTGAACTTGGCAGGCAAATTGAGAAAACACAAAGTTTGTTCCAGACTACATTTTTTAAATTGTTTTATTTACATAATTTACATGAATAAATTTGGACTGTTTAATCCAAATTGGGAATTTTTAATGTCAGTTTTACTTATATATGAGCCGACCATCAGTGAGTGATTATGGATTTATGCCGTTTTTAGCAATATTTCAGCAATATCATGGTGGGGGGCACCAGAAATGGGTTTCACACATTGTACCCATGTGGGGAATCGAACCCGGGTCTTCGGCATGACAAGCCAACACTTTAACCATTAGGCTACCCCATCGTCCGCCAGCAACATCAGCCTCTGAGCAGGTCCTGATAAATGTATCTCATGAATAGCAATACAAAAATGTACACATGATAAATTAGTACTTTTCTTTTCTGTCATAATCAAACATAACACAATTCAAAGAAAGAAGTTTGGCAACTTTTTAGCATACTTGTACTTTCTCAGTTCTCAGTTCTGTGTTGTGGGATCCATGTAATAATGATTCTGCTCCACATTTAGAGTGACAGATTTTCTCTGTGTACTAAGAGAGTAATCATTAACTCATAGATAGATATACACCATAAAACTGAGTTGGCGGACAAAGAGGTGATTAGAAGACTTGAATCAGGTTTGCTTTGACTACCAGTTTTGATGGATTATAAGTTAGGTATTTTACCTGCACTCGGAACTTTGGTATAAATTTCAATTCTTTTGCCCATGATGGGGGGTTGTAAGGTTCAAGAAATGTTGTCATCTTCTGCACCCTTTGATAAATGATCCTGGTAGGTTCAACCTTCAATGTCTGTAAACAATGCTGACTTGTCCGTATCTTCCCCACAACTGCTACACTTGATCTCATTCTCTTAGTCAACGTAGGCTGACCTACATACAGAGACTATATAAATACATTGAAGATAGCAAGATACGACCTGTTTATGTAAACATAATGAATATACTGGGTATGCAATAGGAGTCGTTCGAAAACAGGTTACGCGACGTTGAGGTTAGTAGCTGTGTCTCCCTCATGTTCGCGAAGTGGGCTCAATGTACACACCCTTCTCAACACTGGGTACATCTTGGTTTTTGCACTCCAGTTAAAACTGTGCGTTGCAAGTCAGAATTTTGGTGCCCATGTCATGGTGAAAGAGAAGAGTACATGTGCTTTATTCAAAGAAAAGACTGATGTAATTTTGTGTGCATTTCACTGTTATCTGACGTTAACAATTCGTATTTGAACTGTGTGAACTTTTTAATGTGATATAGTGAATTCTGACGATATAATGTATATTGTTGTCCGCTTAATTACTGATGTTTTATAAACGTCGTCGCTTTATTTGTTCGAAAACCGGTTACGCGAGGATACTATTTGCCAATTTACATCACAAAACAAAACATATTCATCCACTCGCCAACACTGATTTCGTCAGAGTTGAACTGACTGCATGTAAGAGAGTGTCACTGTAAAAATGTGCTGTTATTACAATACCTAGCACCAGTTAAGTGCTCCATTATGGTGTAAACAAGAAAATATATGCGGTCTTCCATGGAACGACTTTTGTGGGAATAATCTACCCTTGGTTATTTACATATTTGTTCCACAACAACGGAATAGACTATGCTTGGAGGCAAAACGTAGTCTTTCATATTTTAAGTTTTCAAGTGAATGTAAAGGATACACATTGCACCTTTACGTTCTTAAGGGTTATGACATTGTTGGGCTCTTGGAAAGTAAATGTCAAGAATTAAAAATATTTACAGTAAGTTCGTTCCACATTCATTGGTACACTTTTAATAGTGATCCATACGATTAAACTGGTTCCTTTGCTGGTATGCGATGCAAGCTAAAACTGGTTTCGCTATTTGTACGCGATGTACGGTTACCGTTTGCTGTAGACAATAGCCCAGTCTATTCTAAAATGGGAGCATCCAAACGTGAACGCTCAACATAAATGAAACCGGTAAACCTTGATATGCAGTATTTTGAAAGGACTCTGAAACATGTGACGAATCATCACATCTCGCTTGCCTGTCCCAGAAGTTTTCATAGTTTGCCGCAAGAATTTAATTCGTAGGCCATTTAGTGAATTGACTGATAATAAGTTATCTAAATAAATTAAACTATAACTGCATTATTTGATGTTATGCCATTGTTTAATGCAAAAATATAATAACATCATTTGTGACGTTTTCCTTAACCACTGTTTAACTGTTCACAGGGTAATCACGAAGTCTGTATGATTTGACACCCGACATCGTGACACGCCCTTGAAGAGATGTAGTGTCAAAAGATTGTTAATAAATTCAGTATCGTGTGTGTCCACCATTGGCGTTGATGTTGGCTTGACAACGACGACGCAAGGACGATACTAAGCGATTGAAGAAAGTTTGAGGAATGTTATTCTGTGTCTGAACTAACGTTTGTACCAATTCAGCTAATGTATACAGCTGGAATTGCCTGATTTGATTAGACAGCTGTCATACAGCATGAATTGCCTGATTTGATTAGACAGCTGTCATACAGCAGGGATTACCTGATTTGATTAGACAGCTGTCATACAGCTGGAATATAGTTGAGTGTGACATTAAAACACATGTATACTGAGTCAAAAAAGAAACTTCACATTCTTTCTTCAGGGCACTATAAAAGAACAAGAGATGGTTATTATTTCATTGCTGAGATCTGTGTGATGTACTCGATACACTGACAGTGCCATAATCAGTTCCATTAGGCTACACCGCCGTTCCAAAACATGGGTATACAGAATGTCAAGTCACAAGAATAAAAATGCGAAATTTCTCAGTTCAATATCGTGTATGGCCGCCCCGCGCATTCACCACTGCCAAACACCGTCTCCTCATCGAGTGCCTGATGCTTGTGAACACGTGGTTGGTGATTCTGCGCCATTGCTCTTGCAAGGCAGCGCCAAGTTCCTGCAAATTCTGAGGTTGGTTTCTAAGACCACGAAGCCTTCTCCCAAGTGCATCTCAAACGTGCTCTATTGGATTAAGGTCAGGGGACCTCGATGGCCAGTCCATGACGTTGATTCCAGCGTTTTGAAGGCAATTTCGTGTCAACATCGCGGCATGCGGCCGAGCATTATCATGCTGGAACTGTAGACCTGGGCCATGAGCCGCCATGAAAGGAACGAGTTCAGGGGTGAGCACCTGGTCGCGGTAAGCAGGAGCTGTGAGGTTTCCACGGATGACCAGAAGTCGGGAACGGTTGTTCCCACAGAAAGCACCCCACACCATGCAACTTCCGCCCCCGAATCTGTCGACTTCCTGTACACAACATTGGGCATACCGTTCACGACGTCGTCTCCAGACTCTATGCCTGCCGTCCGCGAATCTGAGGGTAAACCTGGATTCATCGCTAAAGACGACTCGATTCCAGTCTCTCTGGGTCCATCGGAGGTGACATTGGGCCCACAGCAGACGTTGACGTTGATGAAACGGCGTTAATATTGGCCCACGATATGGACGTCGAGAATGGAGATTGGCAGCCGGCAACCGATTTCGAATGGTCTGTGAGGACAGTCGACCTCTAAACATCTCAGCCCTGGTTCGTGTAGCCGGCAGAAATCTGTCACGTAGGTGACGTAGGACGATTTGACGGTCTTCTGCTCGTGACGCCACACGTGGACGACCCGACCTTGGGCGATCAGAAGTGGTGCCAGTTTGTTGTAGACGACCTCGCAAGTCATACACAGTACGACGGCTGCATCCCATTGCTCTTGCGACGTCAATAACTGATCTTCCCGCTTGCAACATGCCAACGGCACGTTCACGTAGCACATTTGACAATCGTGGCATTTCAAGTACCGTTAGAACTGTGGTTTAAAAGTGTTTTTTCAATTCTTGAGGCCAATGCAAACACGTGCATATGAAGAAAGCTTCGATGCGAAGATCACGTGATCGACTGCACGTGCAAAACCTGATTTGGCACTAACGTCATTTGCACGACGAATGGATGGGTTTGAGTGGGTTTTGCTAACGTTTTTCTAGAGTCGAAAGATAGGGATCCCATTTCGGATACATAGATGTATCATCAGAGAAAAATTGTTCATTATTTTTCAAATTACATTTTGTGAAGTTTCTTTTTTGACTCAGTATATATACATTGTATATATATATATACGTCAATGGCTTGGGCTTGGCGTAAACGTCGCTCCATTTCACCCAAAGCGTGCTGGATAGGGGATCCGGGACAGGTACGGAAAACAGGTGGCCAGGAGAGTACCAGAATGTTCTGCTGTTTTAGGAAATCTGTCACAACACGAGCGACATTATCGTCTGAAGTTATGTCTCTGTCCTTGAATGAACGGCTGCACACGAGGCCCAATAATCTCATCTCTGTTACCCAGTCAGATTGCCACTGATCGTGACAATGACATGAGATGTGATTCCACCCCATACCATAACGCCTACGCTACTAAACTGTTGACTTTGAACAACGCACGCGCCAGCAAACCTTCCAGCATTGCACACCCTTGCCCTGCCATCTGAACTGTCCAGAAGAAATCTCGACACGTGAGTGAACAAAACACCATGCATCCCAATCCTGTCTCATATGCCTGTCGGTGACATTGGCGCAAAATTAGACGTATTGCAGGCCGTCGGGGCCGGTTGTTGTGCTCCCTCAGTCGGTTCTGTACAGTCCTGGAACTGATTGGACATAAGCCAGGAATGGTCCGTGCAGTCAAACTGGCAGTCTGGAATCGATCCTTAGATGGGTCAGCCGAATGTGGTTGTCTTGCTGACATGACATAACCCGTGGACGGCCGTTTCGAGGCAAATCTCTCGTGTTCCCATTATGTTGAAAATGTCTCCATAGAGATGAGGTCGTGTTTCGATGGGCACAAAAATGTCTGGCCACTTCATTTTGGGCCAGTCCAGTCTCCAGCATACCCACGGCGCGGAGACGCTGATTTTCTGTAAGCCGTGTCATGACGTTTCCACAACATTCAGAGACCAGAGAATAATCAACCGTTCTTCAATTTTCAATATCAGGTGTGTGAACTTCAGGTGTCAAAAAGCATGCAAAAAGTGAGTAAGTCATTGTGAACAAAGTGCACGTGCCACGCGATACGTGACATCAAATTTCATGGCAAGTGCTTTGCTACATGTGTATTTTGTGTTATTTGTATAACTCTTCAAATTCAAAAAAACTTTTATTTTATGCAATTTTATATTATGCACAGTTGAGTTTTCCGTTAGTAAACATGCATTTCCATTATTCAAACAATTGCTTATAATATGTCACTTTTATAGTATTAATTCTTTATGCACTGGTTGTTCTGTTTTAGGTTTTTCGAACACCGACATGGAAAACATTTGTTGGAGAGTTTATCGCAGTAACGTAGAGACAGCCCCTATACGTGCCGGGGTGGGAGACCGAACTCAGTTCTCGGTTCAAAATACTCACTTGGGTGACAAGAGAAGGGGTGGGGGCGTTCATGTACAAAGACAATAATAATATAATAAAGAAAGCCAGATAGGTAGGATTAATTTACAAAGACGAAGCCAATGAGATTAACGGTATAACAATTTCGTTAACAATTCTCAGAACTTAGAACTGATCGTCCCCGATCCAGGAGGTTGATTAGAAACCTGCCCTCCCATTCGAAAACAAATGGAGGTTAACGGATAGATGCGAGTGACGAATTGCTGTCAAATCGAAAGTTTGTTTCAGTTATATAACATGATAACAAACTGCCCAGACCCATCAAGATCCGGGTAATAATTGTTCTTCACGCATCCCATACTTGTCGTCAGAGACGACTTATGGGATCGGGCGGTCAGGCTGTCTGACTTGGTTAACAAAATATATACATGTCATCTAATCCTGATAACGTAGATCGATGCTCATGCTGTTGATCACTTGATTGTCTTGTCGAGACACGATTATTTACAGACCGACGCCATATAGCTGGAATATTGCTGAGAGGGGCGTAAAATAACAAACCAACCGACCAACCAAAACAAACTGTTCATCCACAACACATCGAGGCACTTTTCACACAAAGTTCCCGAGTATTTGTTTCCATTCGATACCGAAGACCAATGAATGCTTTCTTTAGTGTCGTCCAATCGCAGCCTACGAAAAGTCTGTCACCGGCTGTCTGAGTAGAACGGAGCCCAGTCAACTTCAGGTCAGCTGACAAGATGGCGGGAAAGTACGGAAAGCTGCATCTTCTTGGATCTGGCAGTTTTGGCCAAGCGTGGCTTGTCACAAATAAAGATAAAGTGAAAAGTGTTCTGAAAGAAATCAAATTGACGTCGCTATCAGAAAAAGAAGTAGACCAAGCTTTGGTTGAAGTGACAGTTCTTGCTAAGTGCCGGAATGTGAATGTTGTCAAATATCGAGAAGCATTTGTGGAAGAAAAATGCCTCAAAATTGTGATGGAATATGCTGATGGAGGTATTGACAGCAATTAGTTGATGCATGTTGGGGTTGGTGCACTTTACCGGGCGTACTTTTGCACATTGGCATGCTGTGGTAGACGAGAGCCGTGATGGGGTCTGACAGTCGAGACAGTACACTACTCGATTTAGACTGACGCTTAGTCTCTGAATATAAATCATCTTGATAGCAACAACTTGTCTCACATAAATTGGAAGGACGCCCCAGTGCGATGGGAGATTCAGGAACCTAAATCTGGGGAAATCAGAAAGACTTCTGCCCGTATTCCTCCCTAAATTTCATTCTAGTTAAATCATATCACCTGAATATACAGTATTCCTCATTTGATAAGGATGAGTTTTAACATGTTTCTTTAATTGTATTTGAACATGCTGAAAAACACATCCTTCTTCGGAAAGAGTTCCTTCCGTTCCCCCAACCCTACACCTAACTCTAAACCCAACCCTAAACTTAACCCTAAAGCTAACCCTAACTTCAATTTTGGACTTTTAGTAATTTTGTGGGTTCTCTAATAAAAAAATTTGTTAATAATTTTAGTATGTTTATTAATATTATTTGGGATGGGGGAACGGGAGGAACTCTTAACCCATCTTCTAAAAATGCCACTCAAATAAATATTTCCTCATTATAATTTAGGGGGGATACGGTCGGAAGTCTTACCCCCTGGAGCAGCTAATAGATCATGTTCTCGACTGGTAACATTCATAGCATTTATCTGTCTTAAAACTCTAAACCTAGAAAGGATCAAAGATGGAGATCAGTGAAGATATAAGATCCTTTTTCTTGAGATATATCCGACTGCTGGATGGCAAACAAAGTCTATAATTGCATTAATTAGCTTACAGGCAAACAAAGTCTATAATTGCATTAATTAGCTTACAGGCAAACAGGCTTGGATGCACCCAAGATGTATCATTGACTGCAGAGCTCGATTTAATTATTTTGAAGTTGCACTGGTGCATGATAATATTTTATTAATAATAATAATAATAAGAGTATTTTTTATAGCTCTGACTTCCACCACACAAGGGCAATGCTCAAAGCGTAGACAAGTCATAGTTCATATGTACACGAAATACAAGGTTTTATGAAACAAAGCGTTGTAAGAGGTGGGTTTGAAGTCTTTTTTTGAAGAGTGGCAGAGTTGGTACTAGTTTTAGGTCAAGAGGCAGAGAGTTTTATTGGTCAAAGAACATGGACTTCAGCTCGAAAACCGAATGATAAGCAGTGAGTCTGATGATAACATGGACTGCAGCTCGAAAACCGAATGATAAGCAGTGAGTCTGATGATAACATGGACTGTGATTGAATGACTGTTACTGTTCATGATATGAAAGTTGAGGAAGTAGATGAAATGACTTCATCAGACCCTGAATAATTCTATTATGATGATGTTCTAAATCACCAATCAGCTAAAGTATTAGATACCGTTTGTTATTGAGTTATTACCTTAGGTTGTTGCATCAGGTGTAAGTAGATTAAATCAGGCCCAGGATTGTTTCAAAGATGCAACAAACCTTTATAGTGGCAAGTTGCACTTTACCTGGGAATATGTTTTGTTTAGCATGTTTAGAGTTTTACAATTGCACAGATTGATGCTCATGCTTTTGATCACTGGATTGTCTGGCCCAGACTCGATTATTTACAGACCGCCGCCATATAGCTGGAGTATTGCTGAGTGCGGTGTGAAACAACTCATTCATTTAGAGTTGTACCTATGTTTAGTATTTGTTATATTTTGGATTACACTTTCTCAGCAAAGAGCAGATTCCAGTACTTTTGTTAGGTTGAGTCCCATCCTGGATTCGAACCCAGTCTGAGTCAGGCACCTAATTGCCAGCTTACAAAGTCAACAACCTAGAATGCTAATCAAAGAAGAAACAACCTAGTCCACTCAGCCACAGCGACATCCACTAGAATGGAAGTCAGACAACTTGTAGTCTAGTGTAGTCCAGTATTGTTGGAATACCACATAGAGGTGACGAAAGCTAATGGGTGTCATAGCCAAAATGTTACAATATATTTAAGTGATATTTCAACTGTAGGACATTAAAGTTGTTGCTCATATGATTCTTGCCCTTTTTCATCTTGACTTTTATTTGTTTCAGGAGACCTACAAAAGAAAATACAAGATCAAAAAGGAATTCATTTGTCCAAAGAAGTAAGATATATTTCGTCAAAGTTAACATTGATCCAAGTGTGGCCATGACAAGGATCATTGTCAACATTATCAATTTCGGGATTGCCTGATTTGATTAGACAGCTGTCATACAGCTGGGATTACCTGATTTGATTAGACAGCTGTCATACAGCTGGGATTACCTGATCTGATTAGACAGCTGTCATACAGCTGGGATTACCTGATTTGATTAGACAGCTGTCATACAGCTGGGATTGCCTGATTTGATTAGACAGCTGTCATACAGCTGGTATTGCCTGATTTGATTAGACAGCTGTCATACAGCTGGGATTGCCTGATTTGATTAGACAGCTGTCATACAGCTGGGATTGCCTGATTTGATTAGACAGCTGTCATACAGCTGGGATTGCCTAATCTGATTAGACAGCTGTCATACCGCTGGGATTGCCTGATTTGATTAGACAGCTGTCATACAGCTGGGATTACCTGATCTGATTAGACAGCTGTCATACAGCTGGGATAACCTGATCTGATTAGACAGCTGTCATACAGCTGGGATTGCCTGATTTGATTAGACAGCTGTCATACAGCTGGGATTGCCTGATTTGATTAGACAGCTGTCATACAGCTGGAATTGCCCGATTTGATTAGACAGCTGTCATACAGCTGGGATTACCTGATTTGATTAGACAGCTGTCATACAGCTGGAATTGCCTGATTTGATTAGACAGCTGTCATACAGCTGGGATTACCTGATTTGATTAGACAGCTGTCATACAGCTAGAATTGCCTGATTTGATTAGACAGCTGTCATAAAGCTGGGATTACCTGATTTGATTAGACAGCTGTCATACAGCTGGAATTGCCTGATTTGATTAGACAGCTGTCATACAGCTGGAATATAGTTGAGTGTGACATTAAAACATGTATACTGAGTCAAAAAAGAAACTTCACATTCTTTCTTCAGGGCACTATAAAAGAACAAGAGATGGTAAGATGGTTAAATTGTTATTATTTCATTGCTGAGATCTATGTGATGTACTCGATACACTGACAGTGCCATAATCAGTTCCATTAGGCTACACCGCCGTTCCAAAACATGGGTATACAGAATGTCAAGTCACAAGAATAAAAATGCGAAATTTCTCAGTTTAATATCGTGTATGGCTGCCCCGCGCATTCACCACTGCCAAACACCATCGACTGCCTGATGCTTGTGAACACGTGGTTGGTGATTCTGCGCCATTGCTCTTGCAAGGCAGCGCCAAGTTCCTGCAAATTCTGAGGTTGGTTCCTAAGACCACGAAGCCTTCTCCCAAGTGCATCTCAAACGTGCTCTATTGGATTAAGGTCAGGTCACCTCGATGGCCAGTCCATGACGTTGATTCCAGTGTTTTGAAGGAAATTTCGTGTCAACATCGCGGTATGCGGCCGAGCATTATCATGCTGGAACTGTAGACCTGGGCCATGAGCCGCCATGAAAGGAACGAGTTCAGGGGCGAGCATCTGGTCGCGGTAAGCAGGAGCTGTGAGGTTTCCACTGATGACCAGAAGTCGGGAACGGTTGTTCCCACAGAAAGCACCCCACACCATGCAAATCTCTCTCCCAGAATCTGTCGACTTCCTGTACACAACATTGGGCATACCGTTCACGACATCGTCTCCAGACTCTTTGCCTGCCGTCCGCGAATCTGAGGGTAAACCTGGATTCATCGCTAAAGACGACTCGATTCCAGTCTCTCTGGGTCCATCGGAGGTGACGTTGGGCCCACAGCAGACGTTGACGTTGATGAAACGGCGTCAATATTGGCCCACGATATGGATGTCGAGAATGGAGATTGGCAGCCCGCAACCGATTTCGAATGGTCTGTGAGGACAGTCGACCTCTAAACATCTCAGCCCTGGTTCGTGTAGCCGGCACGTGGACGACCCGACCTTGGGCGATCAGAAGTGGTGCCAGTTTGTTGTAGACAACCTCGCAAGTCATACACAGTATGACGGCTGCATCCCATTGCTCTTGCGACGTCAATAACTGATCTTCCCGCTTGCAACATGCCAACAGCACGTTCACGTTGCACATTTGACAATCGTGGCATTTCAAGTACCGTTAGAACTGTGGTTTAAAAGTTTTTTCAATTCTTGAGGCCAATGCAAACACGTGCATATGAAGAAAACTTCGATGCGAAGATCACGTGTTTGACTGCACGTGCAAAACCTGATTTGGCACTAATGTCATTTGCACGACAAATGGATGGATTTGAGTGGGTTTTGCTAACGTTTTTCTAGAGTCGAAAGATAGGGATCCCATTTCGGATACATAGATGTATCATCAGAGAAAAATTATTCATTATTTTTCAAATTACATTTGTGAAGTTTCTTTTTTGACTCAGTATACATTGATAATTTCAATGGCTTCATTATCAGCTAGTTTATGGAGAATAGTATATGACCAAAGAGGCTAGTAAGATGCACAGGATGGTATATGTGTCAGTTGTGTTTTTGAAAAACATTCTGCCTGATATTGTATGTAATATTTTGTTCTGTTTCAGATCGTGTTCGACTGGTTTGTGCAGATAGTGTTTGCCCTGAAGTACATTCATGGGAAGAATATCCTACACCGAGGTAAATACGTGTCATAGATGACTTGATTCCCAAGTCGAAACATGAAGCTTATTGCTCAGTATCTACACAACTAAGTTAGTGAATTGATAAATAACTGATCAATGAATAATGATTTGATTATGTTGAAACACACAAGACACACTTTACAATCACAAGAAGCAATACGGTAGGTGAAATGTGGCAACAGTAAGTTTTAAGTTTTCTGTTTGATTGTCCAGCATTTGTCCGATGTATTGGATGAGGTCCATGCTCTCCTTGAACTCATGAAACAGTGTTGGGAGCAGGCAAAGAAGTCTTCATTTTCAGATTACTAGAAAGTCACATGTTAGATTATCAAAGGTCTTGATTCGCCATTGTATAGTTAACAGCCAGTCTTCTGTGAACTGTCACCTTATGAAGTTCCTGAATGAGGTAGTATATCCCAGTGTTGATACACAAAGACAGATAACTCCAGATACTCTGGTAGTCGCATGCCATCAAGGAATATATTTTAGGAAAACAGCACTTGGTATTTTACAAGTGCTTCAATATAGATCTGCCCCTACAACTGTGATAGTGCAGTGCATGGCAGTGTATCTTTGTACACCAAAGTGTCCCTGTGAATTTGATCATATGTTTATCTAAATATGATGCCAGAATTGAAACACATAAAAAAACATGGAATGTCACAAAGTTTGTCTTCTGTGTGACAAATCATCACACGCTGCTGTCCCATGGGGGGAGAGGTGGGAGGCTGACAGTGAGGTACTCGGGGTAAGGGGTCTGCCCTCCACCCAGACATGTTTTCATGTTTCCCAAATTTCTAAACATTTGGATGAAGTCGAAAAAAATATTGTTTTTGCTGACATGAAGTATAAAGTGGTCTGGACACACTTTTGAAATACAAAATATTCTCGTAGCAAAGTTTAACAGGTCACATTTCTCTTGACAGATTTGAAGCCCCAGAACGTCTTTCTGACCAGCCAGAACATAGTGAAGCTTGGCGACTTTGGTATCTCCCGCATCCTGAGGAACTCCATGGACCACGCTGTGACCACCATCGGTACCCCTTTCTACCTCAGTCCAGAGATTTGCCAGAAACAACCGTATCCTCAAACAAAACTCTGGCAATAAGGCTGCCTGCAAGTAACTTGTACATTTACTGGTCCAAAACTTTCCTGCATAATAATTTTTATTAAATCTTACTCCTGCATACCCATGAAGATCTGGGTTTGAATTTGTCTTTCGGCAATCCATGCTTTTGTCAAAGGGGATAAGGGGTCAGGCTCACTTACCTGGTAGGTGCAGCTCATCATATCCCAATTACATTGCATTATTCCGATCACTGGATTGTCTGGTCCAGAACTGATTATGTACAGACCAGTCATATGGATGGAAAATTGCTGAATGCAGCATTGAACAAGAAACAGACAAAACCAGCCAGACATCCACAGAGGAAATCACGAGGATGAAGTGAGACACATAGTATCACTATACTTGGCAGAACACTATGATATCATGTTACCATGGCGCCAGTCAAGCAGCATGTGTAACCTGTATGTTTCAGAACCTGGTTAGTTGTACATTTTACACTCGAGACTAGGGATGAAATGGTATACTGCAGTATGAGTAGAACCGCAGTATTTTGCCTTCAGTTCGGTATACCGTAATGCAATCCCAAAATTCAGCATTTTCGGTTTTCGTACCATCATTTCCGTCTAGTCATAAAGTGACAGTTTTGTTCATTCAAAATAACAGAGATTATGGTTATTGTTTTTCCATGTTATTAAACAATGTAAGGTTTGGCTTTTGTCATTTTCTGCATTATGATCATATCTCATATTATACCGGACAAAACCGAAGGCCTTGTACCACAATTTACCATACCGTGGTAAGAGCATACCGTTTCAACCCTACTCAAGACGTTGGTTATTACTGACTGCAAGCTGAGACATTCGGATGACTGATTGTACATATTTGCTCACAATATTAATCACTGCATTGTCTGGTCCAGACTCTATTATTTATGTACCGCTTTCATTAATGGAGGCAGTAAATTGCAATGTGAGCTTTTACCAGGTGCCACATGTCATGGAATGGCTGGGGGAGTGAAAAACTGTTGCCATGGTTACCTATTCGGTATATTTTCCTGAATCAGCTCTAGCTACAATCACAAGAGTGACCTGTGGGCCCTCGGCTGCATCCTGTACGAGATGTGCTGTCTCCGTGTGCCATTTGATGCTCCCAGCCTCGCCTCCCTCGTCTTGAAAATAGTGGAAGCAAAATATGAGCCAGTTCCCTCGTAAGTTTCATGCAATCATTCTTATGTATGTAAAATCCATAATTATTATTATCCATATTATGTTCCCATATCATAGTGCAATCCAATTCCCAAGTTTCACGTTTAAGTACATTTAACATGTACCACATTTCCTGACTGGTGGTAGCTCTCCATATATAATGATACAGTCCACTTGCCAAGTATATATCTTGTACAGTCCATTTCCTCTGTATGTACCTTTAACATGGCTGCAACTTCACAACAGTTTGCATGTTGCCACTTGTTCTAAGTGGTGGCAAGGTCTCCACCAAAAGAGTTACTGCGTCTATATGGGGTAGACCTGACATAACTCATCGTATTCCAGCCATGACCGAAAAAACCTGATTTATGTATACATGCAAGTATAAGTTGCCCAACTTGTACAATCACATGTACTCATAGTTAGAATGCTTTTTTTTAGTCTTATTCCTAAACAGGGCTCCAGATAAGGGCCATATTGGCGTATGTACGAATAAAAAAATATGCACAATACGGCAAATAATTTAGAAAACGTAGCAGGTACGCACCACACCAATAGTGTACGGTCTGAGAATCACTTACAGACGTATTTATCTGAAGAAAAATATTGGTTTATTGTTTATTGACCTGTTTACACAAGACTATCAATGCTGTGGTGCATATATACTCATGCCAATAATAGTTGTCACCACCTTCCATTTCTTTTATTGGAGAGTGGGTGTGGGAAGGGGGGTGACAACCATTATTGGCATGAGTATATGAAACGAAACAATAATGTACTCTTAAGGTTTTCCAGTACTCCTGTAGTGAAAAAATATGGAGTACGTACTCCTGATGTTGAAAAATTATCTGGAGCCCTGCCTAAATGCTTCATAGTGCATTGTTAAATGGTATTTAATTTATCTAGTGTAGCTGATTTTCTGTAAATTGTCTTTAAGGCACTATGGCCCACTGATTGAAGATCTGGTTAGTGTTCTGCTCAGCCCCAATCCTGACAAGCGCCCGTCTGCTGAACAGTTGTTGACTGTACCAAACCTTCAGCCATACATTGAAAGTCTTCTCAAAGGTCATACTGAAAGAAAACGTAGCATTTCCATATCAACCCCTGAGTGTGATCCTCCCCAACCGAAATCATCTAGAGAGAATCGTCAGTGTGTTCCCAGAAATCTGGAAAAGCCTTGTCCTGTTGCGGATAAAGTGGATAAAGTTGTGTCACCTTTGATAAAGGATTGCCAGAGGCGGGGTTCATTACCAAAGGTCAAGGTCAGAGTGACAGGCAGAAGAGCGTCTGCTCCAGCTACGTCATATTTCTCTGAAGTGCGTGCTTCAAGGTGTCACCCTGCTCGAATTTTTAATGGCCGAGTTATTTCCCCTTGTATTATGGAGGAACCAAACAGCCCGGAATCAAAGACACCAGAAAATAATCCACCCAAGTCGAAACGGGCAAACTATATTCCAGATTTCTGCAACCCAGACGCCAAAAAGATTCTGATAGAAAATAAGGTAAGCACTTTTCTATTTCATGCTAACAATGGCTTTGCTGTCCTCCAACAAGTCCGGGATGCGTTCAGGTGGAGGATGTTGTGTCATTACTTCTGCTAATAAGCGTAAAATTTGGTGCAAATAGTCGAGTTGGTGCACTTCATTAACCTTGTGTGAGACATAATTTAAAGAAAAATATCAGTATACACAACACATTAGTAATTACCATGTCAATCATATACTGTGACTTTAACCAAAAAAATAGTCATTGCTAGTCATTGTATTATCCCGATGTATCATGGTCAAATTCAAACATTCAAATGGCTTTCTTGGAATGTGTGAGCATGATCATGTGACTGCCTTTCCCTGGAGTGCAAAAAAGTGAGGTCATAAACTTATTAAAATTCAAATATCATGTTGGCCGATGTTCATTAGGTGATGGCCCACTTTCTGATGTCAGTGGGCCAGTTGTCCCAGTTTGGTGAAAGGCTTGATGCGTCCCTGTGAAGTCTGTCTCTTGGCGCTGTATGTAGCTGTGTGACAGTGAGCATGTCACCCTGATTCGCTAGATGGATACAGTGTGTGAAACCTATGTTAATATTGGTGATATGTATAGTTGGGCTTTGGTCAGGGCCTCTCCTTGTTGGGTGAGTTGAATGTTAGAGGTCAATCTACAGAGGCCCAGATAAGCTGTGTATCCGGGTAAAATACGCATAGAAAATGCCCAAATACGCATTGAAAAATAATTGTTGCGTACCAATTACGCATTTAAAATGTTAGATACGCAAAAAGTTTAAAACAAATGAGTACAGAATATTTTTATAAAATTCCCTTGCTTAATGAAAAAGAGATCGATTGCTATCAAGTTGTACTGTTAGTATAAGACAAGTGTTGTACTGTCAGTATAGGATGAGTGATTTTTTATGAAATCATTTCCATTATATTTAAGTTGGTTTTGATTAGGTATGACATAAGGCAGGACATGCCTGCTTAGTAAACTTACTCAATGACATAATACTTAGGTGAGGAAAATGACTGAAATACGCACATATTTGAAAGCAGTGGGAAACGGAAAATGAAATACCCACTCAACATTCATAATACCCACTCCCCAAAAATACAGTGGTTACAGTACCCACATGAGCTAAATATTATCTGGAGCTCTGAATCTATATTGGAAACAAGTGTGAACGTCCCAGTTTCACCATACCTGACACTGCATACACAGTGCTACAGCAAGTTGTAGCATCAGGTACAGTAAGTGTAACAACATTGAAGTCACCCCGTTATGCTCATTTTTGGCCTTGTTGACAGATATCATCTTTAATCTTTCAGTGTGATGTTTCAGTATAAACAGGTATGGAAAATATGAAGACGTTGAGATGGACATTAACTCTATCCTCAGTGATGACGTTGACTGATGGACATTAACTCTATCCTCAGTGATACTGCTGGTTCTAAAATGCTGTTTAAACAAACAGCCTTCACTCCACACTTGTCTACAAGACCATGGTTACTAATGTCTACTGAAGACAAGTATAAGTCCTATAATGATAGGCGTCATTGAATAGCAACATTTGAGGGCTATAATTCTGAACCATTTCTCAATGCTTCAACTTTGCCACAGACTGAAACTGAATGGGGCCAAATAAAAAAATGTTGTGGTTCCAATTACACCTCTTTAAAATTTAGGGTAGGTAGGTGGAATAATTTTTTTTTTACATTTTTATTTTAGAAGTAAAGTATTAACTAAAAACACATTTATCAATGTGTAATTGTTTATTCATCAAGCTTGCGGCCATCATGTCGACTTTCTCTATCAGAATGACCGATGTCAATTGGTGCCGGGGAAAAACGATGGTATCTGAAAGCTTATATTATTCATACCTGTTTAAAAAACTAGGGTCAGCACCAGAATTCAAGGGTCGGTCGGGTAATCGGAACACCAACATTTTTTTATTTGTCCTGTAGGGGAAAAGGAACATGTAGACATAATATTTTAGTTTTGTTTTATTCAAGTAGGACTTTCTCTGACGACTACTGAAACAAAGGTAACGCATGTGATCTGGATTTGTAATCATACACACAAATTTCTAAGACTGATTCAGAAATATTGAAAGTGTTACCTGAGTTGTTTCCCCTAGGAGAACATTCCGTCAATGCGTAAAGGGGCCCGCTTCCTGCGCCGCCACTCGCTCTTCACGCCTGCCATCAACTCCCTCATCAAGACACAGAGGGAGATCATGTCCTGTCAGGTTCCGAAACGTGTCCCCAAGGTGAAGAACGTGAGTACCACTCGACGACAGATAGGGGAACGTCGCTGACCACCCAGCTTGGGCTGAAGCCAGGAGCTAATGTATTTCAAACAGGAATATGTCTCCCTGTAGAGTTAGAGGGCCAGTAGGTACCTTGTACCGATACTGTATACGGTTGAAAGTAGCGCCTAAATGTTCGTGGCTGAAGATGCCAGAAGTCTATATTTCATTCCCTTGTTGACATCACATTCAGAAATGGTAACAAAATACGAAGTGGTATATTAATGCAATGATCCATGTTGTGTTTATATTTTTAGCAATTTCCAATTTATCACAATTAACCTTAATAAACTCAGTTATAACTTCGATAAGTAAGCTAAGTGACACCTCAAATTTCATCTCAGTTATTGCCAGTTTATAACAGTTAAACAAATCCACTTATCTTCTCTAACCAACTCTCTGCCACAGGGCCCACCACCGAAAATGAACCTGTACCGAGTTTACCTGAATTCCCAATCTGAGTGTGAGTCTCCAGTTACGGCAGCAACGTCCGTCAGCTACAGCACCGACGATGATGTGTTTGACTCTGGGCACACCCCCATGAGCGTTGGACCAAGCAGACCCAATAGTTCCATCAGTTCACTCACCTACAAGATAGACAGCATGACGGTTGCCGAGGAACCTCCACATGGTCAGCACACAGTCCTCCATTGTTACTGTTTCAGGAAACCTGTCTGTACCACAAAACCACAGACATACTGGTTTCAGTTAGTTTTGTATCCTGTAGGATGCTTTTCATGTTTCGGGGGCGGGGCTGTAGCCTAGTGATTAAAGCATCCTCTCGTCACGCAAAAGACTTTGGTTCAATTCCCCGCTTGGGTACTCTCTGTGAAACCCATTTCTGGTGTCACCCAACCGTCATAATGCTGGGATAATGCTAAAATGACGTAATATATAGAAATGTAACTTATAATTTACTTTTAAAGTCTGCATAATCCCTAAAATTACAAGGAATGGAATGACATCGTCACAGTTATCCAAGGCTATACTGTTGTTTGTGCAGAGTTGCCTCCCTTGGGAATGCCAGGAATCTGTGTTTTGATTTCCCAACACCATAACTGTAGCCATGGGTTGTAGTTGTAGATATCCACTATGGTCTTAGGCTTTACTCCACTTCAAGCAAACACAAAATCATACACAAACCCACTCACTACTTGTCTCGGACTTTACTCTGGCTCGTTTTTCAGACTCCCCATCAGCTGTTTCCAACTCCTCCATGAAACAACTCCAAGTCCTGTACGAATCTGTCATCGCCAACCATGGAAGCACACGCCAAGCTGTGGTGACCTTGACAGCCTACCTACAGGAGCAGTTGGGCGCCCAGTCATTCCAGCACTTGTACAGTCTCGTGTTGGACAGCGCCAAGGCAGCCACGGACTTCAAGGTCTTGAGGGAGAAGGCTGGCAAGAAGATCGTGTACATGCCGATGGTCATTCAGCTGCTGCAACTGGAAAATGCTCTTGGATAGACGAGCAAATCGCAACTGATAAATCTGTTTTTGACTCTTTGATCTTGTTTCTGGAATTGTTTACCTCAGCAGGGGTACCTAGTAGATTTGTGAAATACAATATATGTTTCTTTCAACATTTGAGATTATTGAAAGTCACTTCCGCACTTGGTGTTAATGTAAGCCAATATGCAGTCTCTGTAACAGAAATATGGTATTGACTAGATATAACAAGAACTCCATGTGTCATCGAAGCCTGTTATGTAACTTGATTGAAACCTAATGAGCTATTGAAGGTGGGGTAGTCTAGTGATTAAAGCACTTGCTCATCACACCGATGACCCAGGGTTTTTTCCCTACTGTGGTACAATGTGTGAAGCCCATTTCTGGTGTTATGCGCCGTGATGTTGCTGGAATATTGCTAAAAGCGGCGTAAAACCAAACTCAGTCAGTCAGTCAGTCGTCACGACGACCCAGGTTTGATTCCCTACATTGGTACAATGTGTAGACCCATTTCTGGTGTTCCCCACCGTGATGTTGCTGAATGTGGTGTACAACAATACTCTCACTCACTCATGAAGCTTGGCGTTAGTCCATGAAACCATCTGATAGTCAAAAGTAGATATCTGTTGATGAGATCCAGTAAGATATGTTGTGGTGGATTCAGTATTACTTTACAAACGGCATATATTCATTCTGCTTTTGGATGATTGTTGCCAGTGGACCTGTGATAGATTGTGCTATTTTCCTATTTATATTTATCTACAAGAGTATTACAATGTTTATACTTATATATCATATTGTATGTATATATTGTATAAGAAAGTATTACATATCTGTGCTACAACAAAAGCAAAAATATTCTAAAATATTTTCAGTCTTGATTAAACAGTGCACTCAACTGTGTGTGTTGTTTTAGTGGTTCGAACAAGGATCAGTTAAGCTGCCCGTTGCTGTTACGAGAAGTCATGTATGACTATTACACAGTCAAACACCCTAGTAATGATGTGTAGAATTTATGATGTCTCAAATTGACAGTTTGGTCCCTTGCTAGAAACCATGGCGTGACCAAAAAATGGTGCGCATTGTCAGGCAGTGGCACACTATCGCTCGATTTATTTACATCTAGACAAGGTGACGTATTGTTGACGCATTGTTGACGTCTAAACTAGGCGACGTATTGTTGACGTCTTCTGTATGGCATTGTACGCATGATGCGCATTGTTCCAGCATGGACATGCATTGCCATAGCCACATCGCGCATGCGTGAAACAGTCGTGGTATTATTTGCAGACTTGGGGTAACTGTAATTTGTAATCGAATGTAATTAATTACAAAAATCTATGTAATTGCATGTAATTTGTAATTGAATGTTCAAGATGTAATTTGATTAATTAATATCTCAATGTAATTGAATTTTTCAATTACATCAAATTACATCTCACTTTTTTATTTTGGTGGTCATCAGGCAACCCATGCAATTATATTGTGTACAATAAGGAGGACAAAGTAGTGTTTTTCAGTTAGATGCTTGTTGTCAGTATATACTCTAGCAGGTGTTAAGTTTTGAAAGAGATTTGGATGTCTAAGCCTTTGTAAATATCACCATCTGCACATTTGTGAAACAAAGGGAATCAGTAACGCATGACTGAATGTAGGTTGGTATTTGAGGAAATGGGGGGATTAACTGTACTATTAGTCACGTTCCTATCAAAATGGCCTCTTTGTTTCTTTCTCATAGGATATGATATTCAAAATCTTACTGAACTGTAGTCCTATTTTTATAATCATGAAATGTAATAAGCTATAAATCTAAGTTGACAAGTCCTTTAGTATGTTAATGTGGATTATGTCAGATAGAGAGACCTGCAGATTTTATATTGTAATGTAGGCCTGTAATGATGAGTCATGATACAGTATACCTAAGGTAACAGTGGTGGACAAAGTGTTTTTTGAAACAAGTGATGATAGAGGTGTGTATTTGATAATAAGCCCAAAGAAATAGGCAAAAGAAAAACCTGATCAAATAGTGTACATTGTAGATATAATCTAATTTTGCATTTCACTTTTTGATTTTTGTTGTGTTTTAAAAAAAAGTAATTTGTAATGTAATTAATTACATGTGAATCTAAGGTGTAATTGTAATTGAGGAAAATCAAAGTAATTGTAATTTAATTAATTACATTTCAAAGTAATTGAACCCATGTCTGATTATTTGGTCCCGCTTTGTCCCACTTGATCCCACGCTATATAAATAGCAGGCATCACCAATAGCCTCATGCATTCCTCGACTTGCTGTGGAATTACAATATGTGAACACCAGAGAACAAGCTCTTGATGCAGAAAAGAAAAGATGTCTATAGTTTTAGTTGCAGAAGGAACTACCACAACTGTCTGGGGGCTGTGGACGGCAAGCACGTTGTTATGAAGAAGCCACCTACAGCAGGACCATTGTACTACAATCATAAGGGCTTCCACTACCTACAGCAGGACCATTGTACTACAATCATAGGGGCTTCCACACCATTGTGCTCATGGCTCATGTAGATGCTGGATACAAGTTCCTGTATGTTGATGTTGGGGCAGAGGGTGGTGCCTCAGATGGAGGAACAAAAATGAAGCTGTCGAGGACAACCGAGCCAGACTGCCTGGACAAGTTCCGCTCCTAATGACGATAAACCTGTGCCATATCATTTCGTAGCCAATGACCTCTGTGTGTGTGTGTGTGCGTGCGTGCGTGCGTGCGTGCGTGCGTGCGTGCGTGCGTTGGCAAGAAAGAATGGTCACACCCTGTCCCATAGTGACGATTAAGCAACACAGGCTCTAATACCTCTTAATAAATGTAATTACTATTTTATACATACGTTCAGTAAAGAAAGTGCTTTTGTTTCTGCTTCTTTTAAGAACACACACATTTACTTACAAAATATAGACGGGAGTGCAAAAAAATAACATGTTTACAAGAGAAGGATTAAGTTAAAAATATGTACACCAGTTAAAGAACACCCTGAGAGGAGTGTCCATATCCTTGGGCTAAGGTGACAGCCCAATGCTACTGTCACTATCCATCTCTGTGTCTTGTCCGGTCTTCAAGTTAAAAGGCGTGAACTTTGCGCAGTCTGTCGTACACAGTTAGTGATCAAAACGGGCCAATGCAAGTCACTGCGAGTCAATGGGTGTAGGGCTGGAAATTGATGCACAGTGCCCGCAGTGTTGCGAGTAAGTTGTGCAAGTGTCAGGGTGGCTTTAGTTATGGTATTTGCATGGAAAAGAGAGGTGTCTTTATCTAACATACTTCTTTATCTTACCTCACACATTAATGTTTTCTGATTGGCTGAGCCAATCAATGTACCCCGCTTACATGTAACATTTTTTATGTTACCCGCTGGAAATGCCAAACTGGGAATATGTCTCTGGTACTTCGTGTTGATAATGTAATAATAATGTCCATTTGTATGTGATTTGTATGCTCATGGCGCCCGGTGTGTACAGCTAAAAACTGCAGCAATTGTACAAGTCACTCGTAATATTTCCTGAATAGATAGGCCTTCAATGAAGATTTGAATGCGTCAAGGGAGGTTTCTGTTTTGATGGCTATGGAAAGACTTCCACAGTGAACGAGCAGCAGAGCTGAATGATCTGTGACCATAGTTCTTGAGATGGACAGGGGGTGTTGCTGGGAGGAACTGCTGGCGTGATCTCAGCTGTCGTGGTGGTGTGTACACTGAGATGAGTTCAGAGAGGTACTGAGGCGCTAGGTCATGTAGACACTGGAACACAATGGTCAAGGTCTTGAATTCGATTCTGGCTTGGATGGGCAACCAGAGAAGAGACTTTAGAACAGGGGTCATATGAGATCTTTTAGATGTTAGGGATACGATGTGGGCTGCTACGTTTGGGATTTTGTGGATTTTTTTAAAGTTTGCAGAGTCCATACAGAATAGTCCAGACAGGCTAGAACGAAAGTATGGGCTGCGTCTGTTGTTAAATTATGCCGATTGTTACTGATAGCTCTCAGGTGGAAGAAGCAGATTCTTGAAAGATGGTTGATCTGAGCATCAAGTGATAAGTCCTGGTCCATGAACATCCCAAGATCTTTCAAGGATGGAGCTAGAGTAACTTTTGCATCAGCTATTGTTATTTTCTCAGTCGTGATTTTGTTCAGACGATGTTTATTGGTGACAAGCATAGCTTCTGTCTTATCGTTCATTTTGAGCATCAAAGATGACATCCAGGATTTGATGGACTTTGTGCAGATAGCTGTCTTCTCCAGAGAATGTTGAATCTGATTCAGAGCAAAAGAGTCTACCAGCTGGGTATCGTCTGCAACGAATGATAAGAAGTGTCCTACTAGTCAGATATGTCGATCAAGTGTGTCATGTAAAGGCGGAAGAGGATGGGCCCCAAAACATATCCCTCAGAACTTTTCAACATCAGGGGTACATACTCCTTATTTTTTCAGTTTTGGTATACATTTAGAGTACTGACTGGAATTTAGTAGAGTATCAGTAATCTTGTGTTTCGTTTACTATATGCACCACAACGTTGCTACTCGTGTGTAAACAGGTCAATAAACAATAACACAATATTTTTTCAGATAACTATGTTTGTAAATGATTCTAAGACCATACACCATTGCTGTGGTGCGTATCTCCTACGTTTTCTAAATTATTTCCTACCGTGTCGTGCATATTTTTTATTTGTATATGCGCCGATATGGCCCTTATCTGGAGCCCTGCGGAACTCACCTGTGAGATGTGCTGTTGTGGATGAAGACTGCTTTATCAAGATTCTGAGTGCGTCCTGTCAGATATGATGAAAACCATCCCAATGCCAAACCGGTGATGCCCATTTGGTGTTCAAGAAGCTTGAGGAGGATGCTGTGATCAATCGCGTCGAATGCTGCACTCAAGTCTAGCAATACAAGTGATCCAACATTGCCACTGTCAACACTGACGTCAATGAGCACCCTCAGAACTGTTTCTGTGCTGTGTCTGGGCCGGTAGGCGGATTGGAACTTGTCGAATAGTCGATTCTGAGTTAGGTGTGATGACAGTCTGATGTAAACTGCTTTTTCAATCAACTTGGAAATTAAGTTTAGATTGGGGACAGGTCGGAACATTTTCAGTACGTTCGCATCAAGATCATCCTTCTTAAATGATGGTCTGACAACTGCTTCTTTGAAAACCTCTGGAAATATGCCAGACTGTAAACTAACATTGACAATCTGGGCGATGATGAGTAGCAAGACTTTTATGTTTTCCAGAACTAGTTTACAAGGCAGTGGGTCCAGAGGGCATGCAATTGTTCACTGGTTCCTCGGGGCCTTTTAATATGCATTCAAGCCACAATGATGCAAGTCAAAGCATTAGGCAAGTCAAAGCAACTTCATCTCTACGATCGTCACGCCGAAGACCCGGGTTCGATTCCCCACATGGGCACAATGTGTTAAGCCCATTTCTGGTGTCCCCCGCCGTGATATTGTTGGAATATTGCTAAAAGCAGCGTAAAACTAAACTCAGTCAGTCAGTCATCTCTACGACAACGCCGACGAATTTTAAAACGTTTGTTTACTACTGAACAAGTGGAGTACATGTGGAGTACCCGTGGTTCCGCAGTCGCTAGGAAACAGACGAGGTCTTCAGCAACACACGATTGAGATGCTCAGGCTGGCTGCCTTGGTTTGACTGATGTCATCGTGACCCAGTTGCATAGGTCGATGCTCGTGATGTCACTCACAGGGTTGTCTGGTCCGGACATGGCTAGTTTTCAGACCTCCATCATATAGTGTTTAAAAGGCAAAATATCTGCACTAAACAACAAAGAAACAAATTATAGAAGCGATACAGTTGAAATACTTATCTGACTATTTTATTTTCTCACTCCCCAACTCTGCGTTGT